ATATATATATATATATATAAAAATTTATTAACTGAAACTGCTTGTGTATGGCAATTTTTAAATTTGAAAAATAACTTATATGAAATATTTATTACAGCTTTCAGAAATTGTTATGCAATTTAAATTTTACTACTTGTAAATGCCATTTGTTTGCTTTTGGGCGGACAAACTACATTTTATATGTCAAAATATCAATCCACCTCTTCTCTCCTCCAGCTATAGGTTAAACATTAAAAACTATTTCTATTCTGTGTTCAATTTCTTTATCCTGTTAAAAGCACTGGCTCTCATTCAATCACCAAGTTTTAGCTTTAAATAAGGTTACATCTTTGGAGGAAAACTACAGAAATTCTGTGTATGATTGTCATTTTCCCCCGACTTAGTGAGCACATTTTTATAAATGGTAATTAGCTGCTTCCCTATAAGGTAACATTCAGCATTCATTGGCAGATCAGCCAGTCCTACTCATTCTGCTTTTTCTTGTTCATTGCACTTGGAGCAAAGCACAGTGTTTATCTTCAGATAGAACAACCAATAAATGAGGGATGCCTGGTCCTCAGGATTCCAACCCTGTGGCAGTACCTCCCTCATTGAACCAAAGCGGAAGGCCTGGTGGCATATCAATGCCAGCACAACATTATTTATGACGCCTGGGCAATTTTGGGCCTTAGTCTAGATGTACACACTTGGGCTCCCCACATTAAACCAGCCTTGTGCTATAACCTGCCACTGTGGTGGTCGCAGCAGGGGAGGGGAGAGTAAATAATAATCTATACTTCACCTCTTTGACTTGTTTCTATCTTTAGTTCATGGAAAACCTTTGAGGCATGCATGGTCCAGGGGATTACAAACTTACGGTCGCACTTCCTTCATTGTACTAAAGTGGAAGAGTTTGTGAAATACCAACATCAGTGTGACAGTAGTTGCAGAAACTGGGCAATGTCATGTCCTGCCACTGTGAGGGTGCAAGTAAATACTACGAGCTGGGTTATTGTTTTCCACTGATGTAAGGGAGAGAAAGGAAAAAAAAAAAAAAATAATTCTCCTTTGCTTTATGCAAATCTATAAAAAACCCAGATCATATTTTGAGGCTGTTTTTATATATATATATATGTTTCATTAAATAATATAGACAAGTGTTGTCTATTTATTTTCTGTAAATTCTTTTCATAACGTCTGATAAGCTTAATAACATTGTCATTAAACAAAGAAAGAAAATCACAATATTGATCCATATTTTTTAATCCAATCTAAGCTTTCGGCTTACATAAGCCATTATCAAAGATGACAATTAAATTACAATATATTAAGCAATACACGGACAACAATGTGATGATAGTCTGTTTCTGTTTACATGGATGACTTCCAAGCAACGATAAACACATGCATATAAGACGCTGGGAGCAAAAATCGCACCACAGCTCATGACGTCATATGCACACACACAGTCTGCCAAAAAAATGTACACACACTTCAGGAAAGGAATAACTTGTCTTTCATAGTTTTATCAAACTGTAATAACACTGTTTACTGTAGTATATTTTCTTGGGAGATGGCATTTCATTGGCGGCCATCAGACAAGAAATTGAAAATAACTGCATTAATCTCACTGGACACTTTGCTCAATGTTGCCCAAGCAGTGGTTTGCCATACTAATAAATGTCTGGATGCTAAAGGCCACCATTTTGAGCATCTCTTCATTCCACATGTAACTTGTATTAATGGTTGGTTGATTTTGTTTAGCAGTATATCAACCTCTAAGGGTTATTTAATACCACAATCTAAATATTTCTGACACAATGGCTTCAAGTAAATATGTTTTGAACGCAATTGTATGCCTTCAACTACATATAAAATATATTGGTAATTTTTATAGAAAAATCTATTGCTGATATTTTCACTATAAAAATGTATTTTTATACTTTTATAGTTTTTTTGTGGGAGAGGATTTCTATTTGCCTGGTATCCTAACCAACTTATATTAATCTTGTGATGTCTGAATAATTTAATATTTAATTATCTAAATTTTGAACGTAACTCATAATTGATACAGCAATAGTTAATAAAAATGAACATGCTACTGCCCCTGTCTGAATGATTGGATTTCTCTGTATTCTTGGAAACAGGAAATTATGAATTTATATGTGCGTTTAAACTCAGTAAATTTAAAAATAAGTTATTCCAAAATTTGGTTGAAGATGAAACAGAACTAATGCTTTTGATTTAATTATATAATTAAATTTGAAGTTTTTAGCTTCAAGTTTTGAAACATGGTTATTACTGTGTAGCGAAAAAACATTTTAAATCAGTTGATTTATAATATTTATGCTCTGTAAATTTACATTGAGCAATGTTTTATAAAAATAAAAAATATGAATAAGAACTCTGGATTATATATATATATATATATATATATATATTTTTTTTTTTTAAGCGTTTCACCCCAAGCAAGGTGGGAAGCCACTAGGATGCAAGGGGTTACAGGAAATAGCAAGATCAGATAGGAGTGATAGAAGGAAGGATGAGGGTAGTGGATAGATTAAGGCGACTGGAGATGTTGATTGACATTACATTTGAATAGCTGGAGATTATAGCTCACAGGGAAACAGGAGAAGGGAAGGGAGTTCCACAGGCGAGAGGTGTGAGACATGAAGCTAATCTACTCTAATAGAGTAGAAGAGAAGGCTACATTTAGGAGTTTTGACAGTGAGGGGGTAAGAGTGGGATGCCAGCCTTGTAGGGCGCTGGAACTCATGACGTCTGGGAACCAGCGAATGCAGCTCCTCGGAGCAATTTCCATGAAAGTATTTGTAGAACAGAAAGAGGGAGGCGACGGCGCGTCTGTGAGAAAGTGACTGTAGCTGAGACGCTAGGGCAGGGCCAACCATATTGCATATCCGCCTCTGGAGCCTATCGAGAACTCCGAGGCAAACAGAAACGGCGCCAGACCATATATGGCAGCAATACTCCATGCAAGGGCGAATTGTGGACTTGTATATCTGGAGGATCGACTCAGGGGAAAAAAACTTCCTAGAGCGGCTCAGGGAGCCAACTTCTTACTGTTCTTTCTTATATATATATATATATTTAGTTGGATTGATGTGAGTTTGTGACCTTGGGTTTGAAATGTGTATGTATATAAATCCAGGGTCACAAACTCACATCAATCCAACTAAATATGTTAGCTCTATCACTGATATTGAATGCTTTCCAATAAGTACCATGCATATATAATATATAAATAATATATATAATAAATTATATATATTGTTCACAGTGTTGCCCTCATCTTTATTGCTATATTCACAACGTCGTATGCACTTTCTTCAGGTGATTAGAATTTTGAACTGAACCCTTTATTTCATCCACTGGGGTAGATTGTTCTAGTTCCATGTGCCATGCCTCTGATGTCTCTGTTATCTCCCTTTAACTCAACACTTTGCAGTAGCCAGATATTGAACTCACAACTCTTTCGATTAAGTCACTGGATCCAACTGAGCCATTTGTCCTTGAAGACATCAATGTATGAATTTTTGGGACTTATAAACTTTAATGTCTTTTTTGTGGCCTAGCGTATGTGCTGATTCCTTATGCTAGGCCACAAACATCTGCTGAGCTGACCAAGCATAGAAATGAGTACAATATGGTAGCCAGTAATATGGAGTGCTAGAGAAAAGCAATAACTACAAAATTGCAATATGAGCTCTGGTAAAATAGATTACTTAAATACAACAGCCAAAATGTTGTGAATATGGCAATAAACACTATTTTCATTATTCGGACTATTGTCCTCATCTTTGTTGCCATATTTATTACATTTTGGTGGTTGTACGCTCTGGCCTTCTTCAGGTGGTTGGAATGTCAAACTGAACCCTTTATTTCGCTCACTGGGGTAGACTTTTCTAGTTCCATGTGCCATGTCAAATGGATGTTATTTATCCTGTTAATTCCCCTCACTAAGTTCTTCACTGTGCCATGTGTCAAGGACACATGGCTCAGTGGATAAAGGCGTTAGTTAGATTCAGTGACAGAACCCAAAGAGTGTGAGTTCAGTACCTGGTTAAGGCAGTGAGCGAAATAAAGGGTTCTGTTTGACATTCCAACCACCTGAAGAAGGCCGGAGCGTACAACAGCTGAAATGTAATAAATATGGCAACAAAGATGAGGACAATAGTCCAAATAATGTAAATAGTGTACATAATACTTCATGTCAGAAATATAGACAGATATGGCAATAAAGTTGAGGACTAAAGTTTAAACAATGTAAATAATTACAATACCTCATCTCAGAGATATATGTGTGTGTATATATATATATATATATATATATATATATATATATATATATATATATATATATATATATATATATATCTATCTATCTCCAGGTAAGATTAGAAAGAATAGAGTGTACAATTCCAATATTTGTAACATTTTAATTTAAAAGAGAGCTCAATACAAAGTAGAGCAATATTAACATCTTGTACAGATGTATTGGTATTTCGTTGGTATTTTCAACATTTTACATTGATTGGTTAGTGTTATTAACATCTTATATGAAGAATCTTTATTCAACTGTTGCATATTAATTTACCAAATAATTCTGTTTAAATTTAAATTAAACTATTGGCCAGTAGTTTTACATCACCACCTAAGGAGACACATTTGTAGTGTCTGAACATAATTGTAATTGTGTAGTGATTTATTTTTATTTAATTTTTTTAACATGTTTTTGTTTTAATACCCTTTTATATATATATATATATATATATATATATATATATATATATATATATATATATATAAATATAAATATTTGTGTGTGTGTGGCTTATTTGCCATTAAATATGATAATGTAAAAATGTTGTTCAAATAAGGAATTTAAAAAATTTCTTGCCAATGATAAAGTATTTAAAATTCAAGTTGTATGTGTTTCTTCTGTAAAAGCCGAGTTGTTAAAAGCAAAAATAATTCTAACATTTTTTTTTTCTTTCTTCCAGACATATTTCCAGAGCTACAGATTCCAGTCTCATTGGAAAAATGAAATCTTCGGTAAGCCACCAGACTGAATTCTTTATTAAAATCATTAGTGGGGTTTTACAATAGACGCTTTGGCAAGAAATAATGACTACATTGTTTTCAAAAATTTTTTTTCATGTCACTTTAGATTACACACTTCAAATCACAAATTAGTAAAAACAAATTTTTTATTAAATTTTATAAAAGTTAATAGGGAGATGTTTGGTGTGCTACGTAAACTTATTTATAAATTGTTTCCTGCTTCATTATAAGGCATGGTGAGTGCAGTCTGCTATGTAAATTCATTATAAACTGAACCACTACAAAAACCAAAATAAATGATAACACAATGTTGTCTCTTAATATGTAAAAGAAATAAAACTTGTAAAATTGGTAATCTGGATTGCGTAATTGATAGCAATATATGAAAAAGAACTTTTAGGTCAATAACAAAAAAATTAATTATAAATACAATAGAAATAGACATAATTGGCAATAAAAAAAAAAAAAAATGAAAGAGTAACTAATGAGCTAACTGGTTATCGCTCCTCACTTGTCAAACCACAATTGAAGAAATTAAAATATTTTTCACACTGACTAAAAAGAAAATAAACAAGTATCAATAATGTATTGACATGAGTTTATCTCTAGACAGAACTTGTCATAGAAACCAACCATTTTTGTTTGCATAAGAATGGTTGCATTGATTATAAAGTGTATTGAGCTTATTCTATAACTGTGTTTGTCTTTTTTCCTTTTTGTCAATGCAAAAAGCCAGGACTGAACCAGGGATCTTCAGCTCTTGACGACAAACTACATTCCTTCATTCCACTGGTTCTTACCATCACGGCTAAGACCTGCCATGCTACACACACTGTAGCGTACCACCCTCATTCCCTTCGTATTCCATTGGTGAGATGTAAGTTTCACTTGAGCAGCTTCTTCCCACAAATCGCTGCTTTGTGGAACCAACTCCCAAGAGGATGCTTCCTTAATCACTACACTTTTAAACCTGTTCAAGTCTATGGTTAACTGTTATCTTCCTCCAAATATCTGCATAAACTCTCTCTTACTCTGTAACTATCTACCTCGAGAGGCTCTTGGGCCTTGTACAGGGTGAACATCATTGTAAAAAAAAAAAAAAAAAAAAAATTCTTTCAAAATATTTTCACTCATAAAAAAGAATATTACTCTGAGTAGTTATTCTATCCGTAAAACTTTGATTCATTCTTGACCAAAAACAATCCTTTTCCTCTTTATTTTCAATGATTTTTCATAGTAAAATCATTAATAATGCATTTAAAATCCTAATAGGCTAATTATATCTATCAATTTCTTGTCTAATTTGTAATGACACCAGTTCAACATACCTAATGAGTTTGTGTAAATGAATGTGTAAACACAGGAAGCAGAGGACAAACGTTGTTTAGATTTGAAGTGTAAATGAGGCAACTAGAGTTATTTCCCCTCTTTTGACTAATCGGCCGTGTATTTAAATCCTCCCATGAAACATAATGTCAACATTTTTGGAATGGGTGAAAAAAAAAAAACAAAACAAAAAATCTGTGACATGTAATAAGCTGTGTTTTGTCAGTAACATTTGCATTAATTTCTGAACTTTGACAATCTCATTCCTCTTATTTTTGATGTTTTATCTAGAATAACTATTCAAATTTGGTCAAAAATTGCAAAATTCGGCTTAATCACAAAATTAGTTCTCCTTACAACCAGAAATATTTGTCAGCGCAAAAAAAAAAAAAAAAGGACATAGGCAGCTGAGTTTAAGATAGTAGTAAGGCCTGTTTGTAGAAAAAAAAAGTATTGTCATAATTTTCAGTGTATATGACTTATTTATTTGTGGGGGAAAAAAAGCAGTATCTATATCTGTACTACCTAACGTGGGGAGTGAACTCACTGTCACCAAATTCAGAAAGAGAGATAGTATAGCTAGACAGTGGAATGAGAACAATCTACTCCAATAGATTAACTAAAAGGTTTCAGTTCAAAATTTCTTGACGGTTACCCAGATTGAGTGACACCTGAAATCTAGAGCACATCGGCTGAGACATTGTCGTAACAAAAATGAGGACATCTGTCAGAATGTAAATAATGCTAACTTCTCATCCGAGAGATCAAGACAGGTATTTTACAGTCTCTGCTACATTTTCTATTTAGTACTAAAAATTGGTAAGCATAATTATTACGATTAATGCAAAGGACTGCAAGTGCATTTTCTCAATTGCACTAAAGAGGAGTTAAAATCACCTAAATGCTTTTCTTTTTACCTCCATATTTGAGGAAGTCTTAGCCAAAGCATTGTGAGAAAAATTGATAAGTCAACAAAAACATTAACTCATTATTAATATATTTGACTCTTAAAAAAGAACTTATTAGGACAAAATTTAATTAATGCAATGAAAACACTAATAAAAAAATATTAATGCAGTAAAAAGACACAATTAAAAGGGACAAGTGGAAAGTTTCAGTTTTACAGTCAACCATATGTAAAATAACCACAATGATAGTGGTAATTCTCAATTACTTTATTCTCACGCCAATGAAATACGAATACAAAAATATGTCTGGCCCCTGGCCAGTCAGCTGTTTATATAACACTGGACGAGATAACTTATATCTGCCTGTGGAAATCCCCCACGTTATCTAATGAGACCTTCCATTTCTACTTTACACTGTAAAATTTCTGTGGGTTTAGCTAGTTTAGTTTAATATTCTAGGGTACAGTTTTGGAGCAATTGTTTTAAAATGTGACCTTTTTAAAATATAACCTGTTATGTAAGACTCGTATATAAGGTATGGCTATTAAATAACAAGAACTAAGCTTATGTAAGTCCACCCAGTGTTTCTGGGTCATGTGATATATATTGACCAATTAGAAAGTGTAAACAGTCCTTGGAAGTTTCAGTCAGCTTGTATTTTCAGTTTGTTCTCATGTATTCCTCAAAAAGTCATGTCTTTCTGACGTGCCATAAAATTATTTTAAAAAAATGATGTCGCGCTTCAGTTAGAAAATGAACAAAATGGCTGCTAAATCTTTCTTTAGGCTATTTATTTTTATGTATTTGATTATTTATTTTTTTCTTCAATAGAAGTAGATATGATCGCTTATCATCCAGTTCATACTCCCCCCCAATCCATTGTCTTTTAAACAGGAATAGAGGTTTATCCCTTGTTTGTCGTCTAGGATTGGGTCTCCAGTTCCTTCTAAAGTATACTTTAACTCTCCACTTCTATGTCTCTGCCTAAAATTCTGAAATTTTATTTGCTAATTATTCACTGCCTTCCTCAATAGGAGTAAATAGGTTTGCCTATTGTCTGGTTCACACACCTTGTCAGTCTTTTAAGCAGGGATAGAGGTTTATCCCTTGTTTCCTGTTTAGGATTGGGTTTCCAGTTCCTTCTAAAGTCAACTTTAACTCTTTACTTCCAATGTCTCTGCCTAAAACTCTGAAATTTTATTTGCTAATTATTTCCTTTTTTTTTTCTTCTCAATAGGAGTAGATAGATTTGCTTATCATCCAGTTCCAACTCCTCTCTGGTCGTTTAAACATGAGTAGTGATTTATCCCCTATTTCCTGTTTAGGACTGGATTTTAGGGGAAACCATGTAATATACATTGTTTAATAAATAAAAATTTTTTCTTAGTGCCTCGACTGCTTGAATTTAAGCATGCTACTAGATTGGCAACTAGGTCCAACCATTTACCTATTGAACTAATGAGATACAACTCTTTTATTCTCTTAATTTCTTTTCTTGCACTTCTTACCTGTGGAACTCTCTTCTGATTTCTTGTTTCCTTGCCAACTACAATCTTCAAAATTTGAATACAACATCAGTCACCATCTTCTGTTTTTTCAAACCCTGTTCCTTTATTGTCCTTTCTCCTAAAGTTTTCTCATTTTCTTTCACACTTTGTAACCTCCTGCATCCTAGTGGCATTATTGCCTTGCTTTAGGTGAAATGATAAAAAAAAGGCATTTTTAATTAACATTTTGCACTCTGCATCATTTATAAATACTACTTCCCCTTTTACTGTATATGGAATCCCCTCAAAATATAGTATTTTATATATTTGTTCTATATATTTGAAATTGCAGTAGCCAGGCACTCAATTTCAGTTAAGGTTGTTTTAGGTGTTGCCATAGAAGGTTATGAATACACAACCAAGAAATTCAAATTAAACTTGTATTGGCAGGATTAACATTTCTAATGGTTAAAGGAAAAGTTCTGACAACATAGTTTCTCACTGTCAGAATCTGATACTGTCTACTGCTTGTGAGTTTAAACCTCACTAAATACATTACCTTAATTTTGTGTAATCTTAGCCAAATTCGGGTAATTTTTATTTTATTTATTATTTTCTTTCAGTTCTGTTATCTTCTTTTTCATGACTTTTCTTTTTGTTCCAGGGAAAAAACGTTGTCGTGTTTTATGGTTCCCAAACCGGCACTGCTGAAGAATTTGCTTGTCGTCTCTCCAAAGACTGTCAGCGTTATGGGATGAAAGGAATAGCAATGGATCCAGAAGAATGTAATATGGTAAGAATTTTGTAAAATTATGGTGGAGAAATTATGATTAATGAGCTGTCAGTTTGTGAGATAGGAAGAACAATCTTTCTATAAATAACCCATCTTTCTAAATAACCCATAATAGGTTGATAAATCATAAAAAATGTTTGTCTAGATTTCTGAGATGAGGTACTATGTACATTATTTACATTATTCGAACTATTGTCCTCATCTTTGTTGCCATGTTTATTACAACGTTTTGGCCGTTGTACGCTCTGGCCTTCTTCAGGTGGTTGGAATGTTGAACTTAACCTTTTATTTCACTCACTGGAGTAGACTGTTCTAGTTCCATGTTTAATGGATGTCAGTTATCAGTTATCTCCTGTAAATTCCTCTCTCCAATTTCTCCACTGCCTTAACTGGGTATTGAACTCACACTCTTTGAGTCTTATCACTAGGCCACAAAAATCTCCTTGTAATAAATATGGCAACAAAGATGAGGACAATAGTCTGAATAATGTAATATAAAAAATGTTGTTCCATCTGCTGATTTTGTTTTGTGCTATATCAACCTCTATGGGTTATTTAATGCCAAAATCTAAATATTTTGTACATAATTTTATGCTTTCAACTACAAATATTTGGTAAATAATTTTATACTTTTTTTTTTTCTTGAGCATTTCACCCCAAGCAAGGCAGGAAGCCACTAGCACGCAAGGGGTTACAAAGGGTTGGAGCTAGAGCAAATAGGAGTGAGAGAGGAAAGGATGAAGAGAAGGATAGGGGATAGATCAAGGCAACTGGAGATGTCGATTGACATTACATTTGAATAGTTAGAGATTATAGCTATCAGGGAAACAGGAAGAGGGGAGGGAGTTCCACAGGTGAGAGGTGTGAGACATGAAGCTATTGGAGTAGAAGAGATGGCTACATTTAACAGTTTCAACAGTGAAAGGGTGTGAGCGAGATGCCAGCCTAGTAGAATGTTTAAATTCATAAAGTTTGGGAATGAGAGAAAGCAGCTCCTTGGAGCAGTTACCATGAAAGTATTTTAAAAAAAAAAACAGAGGGAGGCGATGGCACATCTGAGAGAGCGACTGCAGACGAGATGCCAGATCAGGGCCAATTACGTTGCATATCTGTCTCTGGATCTTATCAAGAATCTTGAGACAAACATAAGGGGCATCAGAGTAAATATGTTTTTTAGGTATATAGTTTCTAGATAATGAAATATATCTTTTTTTTTTATGTATTGCTGGTAATTTCAATACAAAAATGTATTTATGGTAATTTCTTTTGTTTTATAAAAAAATGTATTTTTTACTTTAGTGATGTATTATCATTTTCCTATAAAAATGTATTTTTGTTTGGGCGTTCACTATTTTCCCATAGCTGGGACCCTAACAGGTGCTACCACCTGCAGGTCAGGGTGGACCTGAGAACAATAGCAGTTAAGAGGTGGTTCCACACTCCTCAAAACCTTCACTCTCTCTATCAGAAGCCTTGCTACTGGATGTAGTTTATTGTCAGCCTTAAAGACACCTGTATGGTGTCTTAATGTATAGGAAGATTGTATATCACTAATCTCTAGGCGGTTTAATCTCTAATTGTTAATCTCTAGGCGGTTTAAGCAAGTAGAGCAAGATTTAGTTGAATTAATGATTAATGGAATTGGTGAGGTGAATTCCAACACCAGCTAAGGTAAGTTTCTTACTGATGCCCCCTAACAATGGATTAAATAATGGAGCAGTGTGGTCTCTCTTTGGTAACAAGGCTAAGAAGGATAATTCTGAATTGGAAACTGGACACTATTGGAAATCATTCCACAATCTTTCTCAAGAATTGTTATATTGATACACAGTTTATAGATGTGAATGAAAAGGAAACTGTGAAGGGCCATGATCACCTACACCCTGAAGAGATATTGTTCTTGAGAGGGAAGTGGAAGCAGATGCTTCTCTATCTCTGCCATTGAACAGACATTTACAATTGGACCCTTTTTATTATAAAGAGCTTTCACCATGAACCGGGATTATTTAGTAACCTTGTGAAATTAGATTCACTGCTCACTTGTATTTTTTCAAATTTTAAAAACCTTTAAAATTTATATTTATTTTTTAAATTTGAAAAAAAAAAAAATTGTAAATGTAAAAATTGTAAATATATAAATTTTAAAAATATTTTAAATTTGGAATATTTTAAAAATAAGAAAAATTATTAATTTAAAAAAATTTTTAAAAGAAAGTTTAAATTTAAAAAATTTTAATTTAAAAAAAATTTATTAAAAAATGATAATAAAAGATGTTCTTGGGCCATTTTTAATTTTTTTTTTTTTTTTTTTTTTTTTTGTCATCAAATTTTTTTTGTTATAATCAATTTTTAAAAAATATTGATCCTCTTAATTTTTAGGAGGATTTATCCAACTTTTCCGAGATAGAGAACTCTCTAGCCATATTCTGTATGGCTACATATGGAGAAGGGGATCCGACCGACAATGCTCAGGAATTTTACAACATTCTACAAACTGGAGAGATTGACCTAACTGGCCTAAAATATGCTGTAAGCATTTATTTTTTTTTTAAATTCTTACTCTGGTCTTTTTTGGAGAGATTTCTGAAACTGCTGTAATGACCAAACAATTTTGCTCTTGTATCCTTGTTAAATTGATGTCTTCAAAATATTGGTCTCATCTTGGTTGTTATTGACAACATTTTAGCTGTGTACCCTCTGCCCATTTTCCAACCTTCTTCAGGTGTTCTATTTTTTTGACTGAACATCCTTGGAATTTTGAACCAAACCCTTTATTCAGCTCACAGGTGCCGATTGTTCTCATTCCATTTCTCATATTTAGAAGATATTTAATATTACATAATAATATTCACCAGCCTGATTCACGTCTGTGTTTTTCCTTGCACTGAGCCAGGGTATGTTTCCACTTCATTGACATGAAGAGGAAAGATTATATCAAATCGATTGATAAGTCTGTTGGCTAGGAATGTTTGTTCACTGTGTCTTGCTAGACACATTTTCAGTTAAGTTGCAGTATAAGCACCAAAAGCCAACGGTAATGAAAATACTCTATTATGGCATGAAATTGTCTGATTATTTCGAAAAGGACAATAAAAATTTGCACTTGATTACCATTTAGGATTTATGAACAATATAAGTCCGATCTCTTTCGCATTGACCAACTGCCATTACTGGTGTTGTTTACATATGTTTGCCTTGATTAGAAATGTGTGGAAGCTTACTTAGTTAACACCCTGTTTACTGCTTTTTGTATCTTCTTACTGATCACAGCACAATTTTCATGAAAGTTATTTTAAAATGTACTTTTTATTTTTTTTTTAATGAAGCTTTAAATGAATAGTTTTTACGGAATTGGTATAAAAAAAAAAAAACATTGTTAAAAAAGAAAAGTTCATTTTGTTTTTTTTATTATCCTTTCAAGCACATAATTTTGATTTTATTTTTCATTTTTTTCTGCTATATTTGGAATTGTGCATTGTACAGTAATCAAGACACATTACTACTCGAGGCAAACGTATGTAAACAAAGCTAGTAATGGCAGCTGTTCTGTCAATGTGACGTGAAAGAAGTCAAACTTACATTGTCCATAACTCCTAAAGGGTAATAGAGCATAAACTTTTATTGTCATTTTCAAAATAATCAGACAATTTCACACCATTTTCATTACCGTGGGCTTTTGGTGCTTATGCTGAAAATTAACCAAATTTTCTTGTCAGAATCTATTTTGCACATTTATAAGTCTACCTTTCGTCCATGCATTGAATATTGTTGCCACATATGGTTTACTGCTCCTGCTATAAATTTAGAGATTCTTGATAAAATACATGGACCTCGGTGACAGAGGTAACCAATTAGACTCGATATAGCGCCGTTCGATCACGTATTCTGTGATGGAACTCATCTGAGTTTCTCTTTATTCATAGATCTGTACCTCCATGAGCTACGACTACTATCCCCAAGTCACTCAGTCCAGAACATTAGAAGCAGTGCATGATATAGAGTCTAATCAATAAGGCCTGTTGGTATGGCATTTGCCTCCTATCATAACTGTTCAGATTTCAATTCTCAGTAGTGGAGGCGCACTGCTGATGAGTCCCAAATATAGGATGAAACGGCAATCCAGTGCTTTCTGCATTCTGTTGAGGTTTCTCGATGGATTACTTAATTATAATTATCAAATCCTCCTAATTTCTATCACTCATATATATATATATATATATATATAAAATAAAAGGCTAAAACACTAATATTCCATGGTCATAATTTATTCCCTTGAAATCGTAAATACGATCCAATTCATCAAACCTACAAGTTCAAAAAGAAAACAGAAAAAAACATTTGTAGGTCTGATGAATTGGATCATATTTACGATTCCAATGGAATAAATTATGACCATGGAATATTAGTGTTTAAGCTTTTTTATTATATCCTTACTGTCTTGGACATTGAGTTCTACCTGGATTCTATCCTCTTGGAATTTTTTATTCAAAAAAAATATATATGTATGTGTATGCACCTATGTATATATATTTTGCATATGTATGTATATTTACCACTATTATATATATATATATATATATATATATATATATATATATATATATATATATAATGAAAATTTCTCCGATTTAATCGGTAGAGAAGACAATATTTATGAATAAAAATGACAATAGGAAAACTGGTAATTGCTGACGCGTTTCGTCCAATGTGGACTTTATCAAAGCAAAATACGAAAATGAAATTAAATGAACAAAGTAACTAACAAAAACAGAATGTACCTAGCAACTGGAATGTAGAGAAACGCTATTTTCATATTTTTTAACTGAAAAATAACGTCAGAGATTGTCACGTGTGGAGAATATTGTCATTATATCTGTGTTGATGTATTCAACCATTTTCTTTCGATTTTATGAATCTGTTGTGCATATTTGTTTGTAAGAGCATTAATTTTGTTAAGAAAGGTGAAATAGGGAAAAGCCTGGGTGTAAATTAATATTTGGATAATTTTCTATGGCGGCACTCTCCAGAATTTTCCTTCTGAGTGAGTTATTTTTCTTTTTTTATGAGTGTAGCATTTTAAAATCAAAATTATGGTTGTATTTATTTCTATGTATGACTATTGCATTAGCTAAGTTGTTTTTGTGAGGTCTCTTTTGTGCTCATAAATGTGTTTTTTCAAACTTCTACTTGTTTCTCCAATATATTGGGGAGGAGCAGTTTTGGCAATTTATTTTATAAATGCCTGCTTCAGAAATATTAGTGCTATTATTGTTTGAAGATCTTAATATATCTATAATGGTTTTGGAAGTGTTTGTGACTCTTTCAAGATTATTTAGATGGGATAGGTTATTCTGGATCGTGGACGTGGCAGAATTGGTCGGTAGTATTATGTATCTGTTTTCATGTGATTTACTATTGCGGATTGTGTTATTAGTTTTCAGTTAAAAAATATGAAAATAGCGTTTCTCTACATTCCAGTTGCTAGGTACGTTCTGTTTTTGTTTTTATTAGTTACTTTGTTCATTTAATTTCATTTTCGTATTTTGCTTTGATAAAGTCCACATTGGACGAAACATGTCAGCAATTACCAGTTTTCCTATTGTCATTTTTATTCATAAATATTGTCTTCTCTACCAATTAAATCGGAGAAATTTTCATATTTGTCGACATGGAAAACAAAAACTTACACACAGATATAGTCAGAATATACAGGAAACAACTAATATCCGCCAATTCATATAAAAACAAGAAAAACTTTCTTAGAAATTGCATTGAGGAAAAAGTTATTCCTCAATGCTCACACAAGCTCATCAAATCATTGCACCATATATTCCCTCCCTATACCCATGAATTTTTGAAAAATTCAATAAAGAAATTAGAAGAAGAAGCTATTCTTTACCATAAGGCATATATGACGGGAAGTCACTTACAAAAACACGAACGGAATGAAATAAAAAAAATCAGTCAGATATAATAATAATAAGAAAGTCCGTGTTTTACAGAACAAACTCTGCAAACTCATTTATAATAGCAAATGGTCCAACATCTGCAGAAAAGACCTAATAACAAATTTATCCAAATTCCAACTATCGGATACACAGCTAGAAGCACTCAGCTTTGGTCAGAAATTTGCCACTGGATTACCAAAATATGATATCACGGATTACATAATCAAAAAATCATCACCACAATGACTCGATTTTACCAAAGGCTATATTCAGGGCCTAATCACAGCTACACACAAAATCACGAATGACACCGCACTTCCTCGAAGATACATCAACGCCTTGAAAGAATTAGCTAACAACAAAAACATACATATATCTACTTCTGATAAGGGCGGGGGAATTGTAATTATGGATAAACACATTTACCAACAGAAGATGAGGGAGCTCATTAATGATGATAACATCTATGAAAAAGTAAATGAAAACATAGCTATAAAAGAAACAAAAGTTTACAAGCAACATTAAAAACTACTAAAAATGAAAACTTCTGGTTAAAGCTTACTGAATACCATCCCAAAACACCCATATTATATGGATTACCAAAACGCATAAACCGAATATACCAATGAGACCTATCATATCAGGGATAGGGTAGCTCCACATAAAAATAGCCCGCCAAACTAAGCAGAATTTTAACTCCACTTCTCGGCAGCACTATTAGTCCATCACATAAAAAATTCAGGCGACCTCTTAAACAAGCTAAAAAACATAGACATTGAAAACAAATATATGACTAGTTTAGATATACAATCTCTTTATACAAACGTCCCCATAGATAAATGCTTAAATTTACTTAAAAACACACCTAACAAATGCAAAAATCCAATTACCTATATCTACACACAAAATTATAAAACTGTGCCAACTAATTACCAAGCTATGCTTCTTTTTATTTTTAATAACCAACATTACAGACAGAAATTTGGTTTGCCAATGGGATCTCCTCTCAGCGGCGTTCTTGCATGTCTGTTTTTAGAATTTCTAGAAAGTGACTCATTCAAAAATATTCTCCTACAAACTCTTCATATTTCAGATACATAGACGACTCGTTATTAATAATTCCAAAAAACACCAATTTAACGGATCTTCTCTCCAAACTTAACAACATTGAACCTACAATAAACTTCACTCTCGAAACTGAAACCAACTACACTCTTCCGTTCCTGGACATTTTGTTAATTAGAAATAACAACGAACTCAATTTTGACGTTTACAGAAAGGCTACAAACAAAAATGATCTCATCAGCTTCTACTCAAACCACCCTTCAAAAATTAAATCGGGAATTATTATAGGTTTCTCTCTAAGAGCATTAAGAATCTGTAGTCCTCAATATTTATTTAAAGAAGAAACATACATAGAAAACACATTCAAAAACCTACAATACCCATATCATTTCATCCACAATGCAAGAAGAAAGGCATACAAAATATACAAACGAAACAAAACTAATAACACAATCTGCAATAGTAAATCACATGAAAACAGATACATAATACTACCGACCAATTCTGCCACGTCCACGATCCAGAATAACCTATCCCATCTAAATAATCTTGAAATAGTCACAAACACTTCCAAAACCATTATAGATATATTAAGATCTTCAAACAATAATAGCACTAATATTTCTGAAGCAGGCATTTATAAAATAAATTGCCAAAACTGCTCCTCCCAATATATTGGAGAAACAAGTAGAAGTTTGAAAAAACACATTTATGAGCACAAAAGAGACCTCACAAAAAACAACTTAGCTAATGCAATAGTCATACATAGAAATAAATACAACCATAATTTTGATTTTAAAAATGCTACACTCATAAAAAAAGAAAATAACTCACTCAGAAGGAAAATTCTGGAGAGTGCCGCCATAGAAAATTATCCAAATATTAATTTACGCCCAGGCTTTTTCCCTATTTCACCTTTCTTAACAAAATTAATGCTCTTACAAACAAATATGCACAACAGATTCATAAAATCGAAAGAAAATGGTTGAATACATCAACACAGATATAATGACAATATTCTCCACACGTGACAATCTCTGACGTTATTTTTCAGTTAAAAAAATATGAAAATAGCGTTTCTCTACATTCCAGTTGCTAGGTACATTCTGTTTTTGTTTTTATTAGTTACTTTGTTCATTTAATTTCATTTTCGTATTTTGCTTTGATAAAGTTCACATTGGACGAAACGCGTCAGCAATTACCAGTTTTCCTATTGTCATTTTTATTCATATATATATATATATATATATATATATATATATATATATATATATATATATATATATACAGGTTTCTGTAAATGATCTGATTGGCATGTTAACTATAATTTCTTTTCTCTTTACTCATATTTTCTTGAAAAAAAAAAATTTACTTGTTTTTCTTTCCTTATGGGTTTTTTTTTTTTATTATATTTTTATATTCATTTTTTTTTTCTGTGTGAATTACTGTCACCTTTTCTTCTAAGATGCTTACTAAGTGAATCTCTTTCAAGATTAGAAAAGGATTGGACAATAAATCCCCATTCTTCTTTATTAGTCCAGTTGTTATTCACAACAACATGTGCAATCTACCCCTGCCCACGCCATCACCAGAGATCATTTTCTAACGTCAACGCCCATAAATGTTTTTTCTCTTTTTTTCACCTGTCTGTGTACACATGAATATATTTTCTCCCTTCTTGAATTGGGTCATTCTTTATATCAAAATATGCTTGTGAAATCCCCCCCCACTCCAAATAAAATTTATTTTAGCACCCACTTGGCTATGAGTTTTATCCTAGAACAAAAGTCTCAAAATTACTGTGATTCAATTTTGTTATGAATCAGATGCTGATTACAAAAAAAGATTTTTTTTTTCTGTGGAGGGGACCTCTGATATGTAAAATAAGTATATCTTGAAAAGTAAAGACATTGCTAACCTAGAGTAAGAGATATTTTTTTCCAGTTTTGTTGGTAAGGAAGTCGGGTAATCTCCTTTGAAATATGGTTGAAATCTTGTATTTGTTATTGTCTTTTTCTTTTTAATTGAATTCAACCTATGCAAGGTAGTAAAGTCACTAAGACAAAGGGTTACTGTGTGTAGAAGAATGAGAAAACGGGAAACCTTACTAAGGAGCAAGGAGAACAATGAGTAATCGGGATGACAGTAGATAGCGATCGACATTGCATTTAAATTTTTGAAGATCAAAGTTAACTGGAAAGCATGGAGCTGGAAGACAGTTGTGCAAGCAAGAAGTGCGAGAAAAGAAATTGTTAGCATAGAACTTAGTTACATCTAGCCAACTCGACTATAAATTGATGAGACCTTGCTGCCAATCTAGTACTGCACTTAAATCCATAAAGTTTAGGTACCATAGTGAAGAGTTCATCTGAACAGTTTCCATGAAAGTATTTATAGAAAAGGCACAGGGAGGCAACTTTACAGTGATGGGAAAATGACTGAAACTGAGATACCAGATCAGGGCCTATAATATTGCTGACTTTTCTTTGGATCTTATCAAGGAGCTCTAGATAAATATCAGGGGCACCAGACCATATATGGCAGCAATATTCTAAATATGGACAAATGGTAGACTTGTGTAAGATAGATTCTGTCAAGAAAAATTGTCTAACATAACACCGTGAACCAACTTTCTTAGCAGCTGGTCTAGCAATGTATTCAGTATAGTCTTTCCACTTAATGTCAGCCGTGAACGTTAGCCTGAGAAGGTGCAACGAGTCACTTTCCTGTAGGTTAGTATCATTGCTTTTTAAAGCAATAAACATTACCGATGAGTGAAGGTAGTTCAAAAAGCAGTATCATGTGATTTGGTTTGTTTTATCAGCATATCAACCCTTGTGGGTGTCGTAAAAAAAGCTTACTTTTGACACTGTTTTATTGTGGACATGTTTGTCTAAGTTTGACAAGATTTTCCTGTTTCTTAGTACTTTGCTTAGCTTTTGGAAAGTATTTTTTGCTATTGCAATGCACATTCAGATTTTAGTGTCTCACATTTCGTCCGCTATTAAAACATTTCCCAGATATTAAAACTTCTGTACTTATTTGATGTTGACCTCTTCATTTTGTAGTTGACATTGTGTGCAGTTTTATAAGAAAACCTAAACACATGATGAAAGTGAATTTATACATTTTTTTTGTTTTGTTCTTGAGAATTGACAACAAAAATATTAAAGACTATTTATTGGATTATTTATTTAAAATAATAATTTTATATTTTCAACATTCTAAAACTTATACACTTAGAACTAATGCAATATTTATCATTTAACAATTTATAAAGAAATAAATGTGAAAAGAATTTTTATTTATAAATGTATAAACATTTGCTAAATTATTAAGATATGTGAACCAACTATAAGGAAATCTTTATTAATTACCATTTTATAAAATTTGAATCCATTGGCAATTAGTCAATGTTTTGTCAACCCTTCCAATAAACAGTATACTATAAGTTATGTGCCATGTGTGATACATGCTTAGGTGATCATGTATCTAAAGATACATGACTGATGAGGCAGATTTTTTTTCCTGCAGTAGGTTGCTATTTCTTTTTGAAAACCAGTTGCCATCCAAGGCTATAGAACCCAGTCTGTCCTATTTACCCATAGCTAGGGGAAGAAGAGGATTCATACCTTTCCCAAGGGTATTAGCATGTAAGTGAATGTAATGGATTTGACTGGAATTCAAACTTGGCTCTCCGATTCCTCAATCCGAGCCACTATCCATTATTCCACCAGCGTGTAAATCAACAATCTAATAGTGTTTATTATTTTTGTTGTCATTTTACCTGAACAGCTTGTGTGAATGACTGATGAAACAAAGAGTGGAAGGTATGGTAAAAAGGCAAATGTTATTAAGCGCTGCAAGGGATAGGAAGTTAGGGAGGGCTATGATTCTCCATGTCTTGAAGAGTTAACAGTTAATATTGTTTTCTGGGGTATATTGAAAAAGCATAGTCATTATATTGGTAGTATGTTAATTGTTTATTTATTTTTTTCTGTTGTTTTTTTTTTTCAGGTGTTTGGCCTTGGCAATAAAACTTATGAGCATTACCAGTCAATGGGAATTTATGTAGACAAACGTCTTGAAGAACTGGGAGGAACTAGAATTTTTGAATTAGGAATGGGAGATGATGATGCTAAGTAAGTTCCACTTTTCAACTAATATCGACCCCTTTTTTTTTTTTTTTTTTTTTTTTTTGTGGGTGTGTGTGCATACACATGTGCATAAAATAGCTGTAACCCCTTCACAATGTAAAAGTGGTTGCTTTTTGAGCTTAAGCTTAGAAATTGGCATTTAGATTGCATTTTTTCAAATTCAGTTCAGGTGCTAGACAATTTTTCTCATCAGAATCCATCTTGCATATAAGTCTAGCATTCATCCTTGCTTTGAATATTGCTGCCACATATGGTCTTGTGCTTGTGCTATATATTTAGAGATTCTTGATAAAATCCAAAGAATCTGCAATGTTACTGGCCTTGACCTGGCATTTCAGCTTCAGTCACTTTTCTACTATTGTAACAAATTCCCTGTGCCTTTTCTATAAATACTTTCATGGTAATTTTGATGAAATTTCTGCTATGGTACCTAGACTTTATGAATTTAAACACATTATTAGATTGACAGCACTGTCTCATCATTTTTTTAAATGAATAGATGTACTGTAAGTTCTATGCTAATGTTATTTTTTTTCTATCACACTTCTCGCTTGTGGAAATCCCTTCCAGCTTCTTGCTTTCCAGTCAACTTCGATCTTGAAAAATTTAAATGCAGTGTCAATCATTATCTATCTTAATTCTTGTTCTTTTAATGTTCCCCCCCTCTCTTTAATTCTGTTTCCTTTTTCTCACGTTCTTTTTCCCCACATTCTTTTTTTCACATTCTTTTACACTCAAAGTAGAGAGTGAACAAATGAGGTTGTTGTATGGACAAAATAGGAAGAAGTAAGCACACATTATGAAGGTAGATAATGGTTGACCCTAGACTTGAAGTGGTTGAGATTGTAGTGATCAGGGAAGCATCCTCTCAGGAGTCTTTTGTACAAAGTAGTGATTCTTGGGAAGAAGCCGTCTCAGTGGAACTTCCTTCTTCAGAATGGGGATAATTTAGCCCTGTGTTTGTGGCATGGCAGGTCCCAGCTTCGATGATTTGAACTCATGGAAGTAATATAGCTTTAGCTATCTGGTCATTCAGTGCATCCTGCTCTCTTGCCAGACATCTTGTCAATATTCTGCTTCTGGATCCAGGAAGACTGGGATGACAAAGGCTGACAATATGCACAATTGTCTCCCTTTGTGTTCAAAGTCAAATCATAACTTCATATGAAGCCCTGGTCATGTTTTCAGAGATGTGCAATGATGCTCATTACGATGTCAGTAAATATTGTTGATTTATTTTTTTTTCATTTTTTAAAATTTTTTTTTTTTATATTTTTAGCATTGAAGAAGATTTCTTAAGTTGGAGAGAGAAATTTTGGCCAGCAGTATGTGAACATTTTAATATTCAGGCAGTTGGGGATGATATTAGGTAAGTTGTTTAATATGTTAAGTAAATTTTGGCCAGCAGTCTGTAAATACTTTAATATTCAGGCAGTTGGAGATTCTTGACTTTTGAGAGGAAAATTTCTCATTGCTATTGGGTCGGAACAAAGTTTGTAGAGTTTTTGATTAGTGGCATTTGAACATGTGATTTTGTTTTACATCTGACTGAATTTTATGACATTTTGTAAAATTCATCAGTTTGATGCTTTGGCTCATATCAGTGATGTTTTTAGCAGAGGATCAACAGGAGTTTCGGTTCTTTCAACATCATGCTCCCTCTCCATGGCAACTCTGGCATACATCTGTTACAACATTTCTCAGAGTATGCCTAACTCCAGCATTTATAGTCCAATTACGACCAACTTCTGGTTCGCCAGCTTTTGCACTCTTCCATAATAAAAAGGAAGCAGATGCAGTAACCGTTTTACTTTTGCAGGAAATATGGCAACACTCGATTTGAAGTGGTTAATAAATAACAATCATATCCTTTCGCACACTGAGATACATTTACATATTCTAAAAAGTGACATTACAACACATCTCCATACGAATCATGTGACTGTGAATTTTTAAAAATGTTTCTACCTTGAAAGCAAAAAGAGGTAGTGGAATGAGATGCTCTTTTATTTCCCGATATGAAAAGAAATGTTGTAAAGTCAACAAAAAATGATACATGTTCTTCAGCATCCTGAGTATGTGTATGTACCTCAAGACAGCCAGATAAACACCTTACATTAATTAAGACTCTGAAGTAGTCACGTGAAGACGGGGAGACAGATGGTGTGATGGCCCTTGACATCCATATTGGGAGGGCATCCAATCAGAGAGTGAAATAATAATTTAGTTTTTGAAATTAGAAATTGTCTCAGTTAACTACATTGTACAAGTGCCCTACAGTCTTACAAGCTGGTGTGAATGTGGATCTGTGTTTTGATAATCGAAACCAGAGCATGACAACTTCATCTTCTTAGGGGCATACAGTCAGTCAGTTTGGAGAGATGAGTTAAAGGGAAATAACTGAGACATCCAGAAGAGGCATGGCACGCGGAACTAGAACAATCTACCTCAGTGGATGAAATAAAGGGTTCGGTTTGAAATTCCAGTCACCTGAAGAAAGCCGGAGTGTACAACAGCCGAAACGTTGCGAATACGGCAGTGAAGATGAGGATTAGTCTGAATAATGTAAATAATGCAAGTAAGACTAGTTTAATCTAAAAAACAAACAAGGGTAACAAGGAATATGATAAAAGCTGCCAGAGGCTTGAGCATAGAAGCAAAACCATTTGTTTAAATGTATAAAGGAGAGTAGTTTGCATGGAAGCAAATAGTTTGCTTCCATGAATATGCATAAAGTTTGTTTTGATGACTTCTTAGAAAGGAAGAAAATTACATCTGGGAACAGTGTGTAAACAGTAAACACATGAAAAAGAACCTGCATAGAGAGATACAAATGTAATATTCTATTATAATCGTACTTGTCTCTCCCTTCATTAGTTGACACTACCATTATGCTCTAACAATAAATAAAGGCTGTCCACTCATATATCTGAGGATGCCCATCTACTAGGGTGGCTAGAGAATCCCTGTTGCAGACCCCTGCTGAGGCACATTTTGTATTTGTTCGGCACCCATAGTCCACCTGTTGTTTATATTGCAGCTCTGCTGAGTGGACCTTAGTTAAAGTTTCTGGGAGAGAGCGCATTACCTAGTGTGATCAATGGTTTGAACAATTCCAGCACACTCAAACCCTTGGTCACGATGACTTTTGACTTTATGCTAGCACAACCATTGATGGCTCCCAAGGATTTCTGTCTACCCAATTTCACTTGCAAGGCTATGATTTTCATGCATTTTCTAAAGTTGCTACAAGCTGGGATCTCCTTCCACCCCCAATTGATAACATCAAACAGTCACTTAATAAATAATGGACTGTTCCGTTTTGAGAACATGGAAAAGGGGGAGAAAAAACACTACTTGGTGTCAGTGAGAAAAGGAAAGAAAGGAAGATAGAAGTATTTCACGTCTGCTTCAGTCAAATGGAAAAAATTGTCAATTTCAAATCTTTTCATTTGTACCCCCTTACTTCTTAAAATAATAACCCGTATTCATATTTATGATTGTTACTGCAATATTTTGTTAAAATTGTTAAGCTCAAATATTTAATGATGTGATAGAGGAATTTCTACAGATAGGTTATCATCGTAGAACTCGCCATGAGCTTACTCAATCATTATCTTAAGAATTAAGATTTATCACGTCTTTCTCATAAATGTATAAAAGATAGCTACCATGTTCAAATAATGTGACATTAAGTGAGACGAATGCAGAGAGAAAAGATTTTAAAGGTTACATACTGGTGATGTTACCGTAGGGAATAGATTTAGGCATATAAGAAAAATATGACCCATGTGCTTGGTCCTATGCTTTATTGTCCCTGTTCTAGTGATAACTAAGGGCAAAACAAGAAGGGGTAAAAAATGGTGACTAACCTAAAAAGTAACTAAACTGACCCCCCCCCCCGAAAAAATGGATAAATGAGAAGTAAAATGATACAGGTTTGTACTGTTTATGGAGATTGTGCCAATAGCTGGGAATAATGTTTGTAAAGAATTAACTAAATTTAACATAGAAATTTGAATCTGGAAAACCGAGAAAACTTGGGCAAACTTGTGGTTGTTGATGAAGACTAAATCCAAATGCTGATTAAGGGATAATCCAGGCCATATGGCACAAGACATTACAAAAATACTTCATTTATCTCATGAATTGATTTTTTTTTTTTTTTTTGTTTAATGGCATATCAACTCATTATGGGTCATTTAATGCTGAAATTTAATTTTCTTAGGATCTTTTGAAGTAATAAATATATAATGTTATTCTGCTTTCACAGTTGAATACATGGTAGATGATGCTCAGATTTTGTGCATATACAAGTTTGTGGACATAATTACTGGTGTTTATTTATTTTTTTTTTTAAGTTATATTTTGGAATACAGTTTGACTTTTGGAAATTGTAGGATATTATATGGATTAATGTCATGAAAATTCATGTTGGTTTTTGAGTTTTCTTTAGTGGCATATCAACATTTGTATGGGTTATTTAATGCCAAAATCTAAATATTTTGAACACAATTTTATGGCTTCAACTAAATATTTTGAACGTAATTGTGTGCCTTCAATTAAGTTACTGACATTTAGAAAAAGCTTCATGAAAGTATGTTTTGAAAATAATATTCAATAATGCATTTTGCCTATATGGCTTCCTCAGATGGATAATGAAAAATGTGTTGTGCATTTATGCATTTGTGTGTGTTTACAATAATTAAATCTTATATTATTTTTCCCAAGCTTGTGTTGCTCAAGACTGAAAAAGAGAAAGAAAATGAGTGACTTTTAAAAAATCGTTTAACATTTTATATTTTCCACCTTAAGTCACTCATAAAATATTGTCATTGAAATTTAAAAGATACAACAAACTTTTTTTCCAACTCATTAGATATGGCTGATTTTGAAAATGAAGAATTTCAAATCTAAAAAAAAAAAATAAATAAATAGGGGAGGAAATGAGGAAACTTGGGATCACAGGGGGAGGCATTATTTTTGAGGCTTAATTTTTTAAAAAATGATGAAAATTATCTTTGTGTTTGTCGATCTCTTTGTAAAGGTTAATATTAGATTTTAAAATGATTCATAGCTTTTGAGCCAGGTGTGTATACACTTGTGAACAAACATGGTGATGTGGGACTGGTAAGGTATTAAGGTTTCGGCATGAGTGTGTTTCTTGAATTCTTCGTCGCCACTGATGTGGGCCCAAAGTTGGGACCATGGAAGGAAAACACGAAACACGGATTAGAGGTAAGAAAGATATATTAAACAAAAAGGTTACAAAGATAGTGTAAGCGGAGCTTACTATGTACTAGTGTCCAATATTGGTAGTCGTACGCGGCTGATACTACGGTATTAGAATACTCTCTCTCTCTCTCTTTCCTCCTCTTCTCTTAGAGTATTATATCGCATACTTTATATAGTCCTGGAAGAGTCCATGTTGTAGGTATGTTATGGTCTCACAACACATGGATAGTAAGTCTTACATATTTTTACATTTATTTTAATTTCTAGTATACGTCAATACACGCTAACTGTCCATGATGATCTTGCTGCTGACCAATATTTCCATGGAGAAATGAGTCGACTTGGTTCCTATAAGCTGCAGAAACCGTAAGATAAACAATTTTAATTTTCTAAAGTCTTTTAATTTTATTTTTATTTTCTGGGTTTTTCCTTCATGCACACAAAAGATTTCTACCCACCCATATACCTAACTACCTATTTACCTACTTATATGTAAAAACATTCCCAAATTGACTTGTGAAAAACCACCAAATATTCACACACACACACATATACAGATATACTTTGTCCTGTTGTCAATTGTTTCCAGAGGTCACGACTTAGGTTGAAAAATGACGTAAGTCGAAATAACCACAAATAAGCACTCCCCATTGCCTATTACAGTATTTATGATATGTACGTACAGTATTCTTAATAGAATAATTAATTTCCACCTTATCTTCCAGCAATATAGCTTTACATTTAGCATTAGCACTTGCACTGGGACTTTTCTTCAAAGCCATTGGCAATAATGTATTTTAAATCACAATTGAAATGTAATTGAAAGAACGTCAATGGCAGAGCTCAGATGTAAACAAGTCTGAATTCAAAATTGGTGTTGGAACGGTAAAAACGCACGAGTGCCACCTGTCGTTAGGAATTTGAAATATGAACATCTTCTGAAAATACTTTATTATACTAATTGTACTTTTATGATTCTATAATATATATATATATATATATATATATATTATTTTAGTGTTTTGACGTTTCTAATATTTTTAATGGCTGACATAAACTTGAACAAAACGACATAAGGCGAGTTTTATTTTTCCATATAATATTTAAGAAAAACTGGTGTATCTTCAAAAATGACTTAACTCAAAACGACTTAAGTTGAGATATCACTGTATTTACATATATACATTATCATCTGAATCCCACACAGGCAAACTAGAATTATGACACACTTACATACATAAAGCAATATTTACATTTTTTTTTTTTTTTTCAGTTAGACTTGGAATCTATTATGTTTTTTGTTGCATCAAAGAGATGCCACATCTCACCTTGAATTCGGAACACCACAAATTGTACTAATGTTTGTTTGACAAGTTGAATGCATATGAAACCTGATTAACCAATGAAAAATCAAACCACACAAAACTAAGCATACTAGAAATTCTTCTTTTTCTCCATATCGCATTCTCTGATGAAGTTAATAAATGTGAAACATGTTAGATTGATTATTATCTACCTACCTACATACATACACACACACATATATATATATATATATATATATATATATATATATATATATATATATATATATATACAAAAAAAATCTATCTATCTATCTTCCTACAGTTTACAAGAACCCTGAAGAAAAATTCTAGTCAAAAACACTAAAATTCTATATAAATCTCATTACTGGAAACATCTCACTGTAAGAGAGGCACTGTATATTAAACATCTCTCTCCTATCAGCTTCACCTTCTTTAACAGTGGGAATGGGGTTTTAAAATTTTTTCATAAATAGAAAGATGCTCACTTGAATTCCAGCCATATTCAACATACGAAGACTCAGAATAAGCGCTCCTGTTCAAAACAACCTCAAAATAACATACAACAGTCAAAACACAAGGAAAAACTAACAATACCAAAAACAAAATCACTTTGGAAATGGCTAAAGAAGTAGCTGAAAGTACTTAGAACAATGAAAATTATAGAAAATTTTTGTTCTTTACTCCTACCAAATGGTAAAACATAACAATGGTGGAAAAACTAAATTAGAAAAAAAAGAAAAAATAATTATATTTTCTCTGTCTGCAGTATTTAACAAAAGAAGTTAAAAGGAAAGGTTTCTGCCTATATATATATATATATATATATATATATATATATATTAAAAATCTTCAATGCTTATTGAATGTCAATATAGTGTTTCATAATATTTGGATCTCATCTCGACCCTTGAAAAGAATGATTGCATTGATTGCAGAAAACCTATTGAAAGTTTTTACTTATATTTTAATAATAATAATTGCTCTAATCTTATATTAAGCACTTTGTTGGCAGAGGTTCTTTAAACTTTTATATATATGTTGTATTGTATAACCTTATATTATTTGCTAGTGTGTGTAATATATATATTCGAATTCCTGTCAGATCCATTACATTAACTTACGCGAGAATACCCTTGAGAAAGGTATGAATCCTCTTCTTCTCCCCCCAGCTATGAGTAAATAGCAGAACAGACTGGGTTCTATAACCTTGGGTGGCAACTGGCCAAGGAGAAGAAAAAAAAATCTGAATTCAAAATCAGCCTTGGGAGGGTTGGGCTCCGTCAGGCTATTTTGCCCAAGAAACACCAGTTCTAATGTGGCTGCAGTACACAATGGTGCCCCTACCACCCTATGGGTCACAGGATAAAATATATATGTAATCTCTAATGAGGACATAGCTATAATTAAACACTGCTGAAAATCAATATTATACTACAATAAAAAAAAACAAAAAAAAAATTTATATAATACAAACTTTATATAATTGAATAAATGAAACAAATATAATATAAACTTAAGGGGAAGGCTTGCAGGATCTGATATATAAGGACTCCAGAACCTTGAGATGATATAAAGAGTGGGACCTTGATAGAATAGAAAAACAGTCCACATATATATATATATATATATATATATATATATATATATATATATATATATATACACACATACATATATATATATTCATTTGTATGGATACAAGTTTGTGACCCTGGGTTTCATGCTTCTGCGATCATCAGACAAATTGATTTATTTTTTTAAAAATTGAATCTATTTATGCTTCTTTATGTTTGATTATGTTTGGTGGTGGGAGGGGGAAATCCTCTTCTGCATCCATTTTGGGATGACACCCTTTTATATAATATATACACACACACACACACAAAGGTGTATGCATTATAGTTCATGCAAACATACACACATAAACAAATTGAGATTAGGCACAGATCCATGCATTCAAGCATACATATGCAATTGTATTCCTTTTTTTGTTATCAATATTGTATAGAAATATATATATATATATCTCAAAATAAAAAGTACAGTCAGATTTATAATCCACAGTTCTTTAGCATTTGTTTTAAAAAACCATGCTCGATACACAGTAGAGCATAATATTATAATATTATTTATAATATGTATTCATACATATGGTTTAGTGATGTCTTACTAATTAACCCATAGCTGTGGGGAGAAGAGATTGATATATACTTTTGAATCATACCAGTGAATCTAATAAACCCAATGGGAATTGGAATTCTCTATAATTGACAATTTCAAACCATTACACCATCCACACATCCAAGCTTACATCACGTGGTATTCTCAAACGGTTACCCATCTAGGTACAGACCAGGGTTGGTGTTGTCCTGGGTAAGACTATAAACTACATCTGACAACAAGGCCTCTAATCAAGAGGTTTTGAGGAGTGTAGAACTACCTTTTAATTGCTGGTGTTCCCAGGTCCACCATAACCTGGAGTGGTAGCACCTGTTAGGGTCTCAGCTATAGGCAAATAGTTACCCCCCCAAACTGGGGTGAAAACATGTAAAAATATGTTTTAATACCAGCAATACATTTTTGAAGAAAAAAAATCTATTACCAGCAATAAAAATCTTGTTGGTATTAAATAATCCATTGAGGTTGATATGCTGTAAAACAAACCAAACCATTATTTCATTGTTAAATTAGCACTGGAACAATTACTAATAAATTAATATAAACAAGGAATAAACTGAAATTAAAGTTAAAAAAAAAAAAGGGTTTTTAAATTATTTACACTGAGACGATTATCCTCATCTTTGTTGTTATTCACAGTTTCAGGTTATACTCTTTGGCCTTCATCAAATGATAAATTAAGATTGTAGGAAGCTGATTGAGTCTTTTCTACCAACATTGCTAAATGAATTCTAGTTCAATTTGAGATATATATGAATTGTTTAGAATTGATACTTAAAAAATATCTCTTCTCTTCCAGACCTTATGATGCTAAAAACCCATTCTTGGCACCTGTTGTTGTCCACAAAGAATTGCACAAAAACAACAGTGATCGTTCTTGTATGCATATTGAATTTGACATTAGCGATTCCAAAATCCGGTAAGTACTTATGCATTTGTGTGTTATCTACTAAAATTTTGTCTTATGTTAATATTATTTGTATGTTATTGTTTGATGGTGTTAATATGGACACATTTTTTTGTAGAGAATTAAGCAACATAAAACACATATCAGCAATAATTTCCCAAACTATGTTGTTGTTGAAGAAATATCATTAGTTTTAAAGAAATTTAGAAAAAATAATGTAAGCAACCAACTTGATATAAACAAAAATAAAAACTTCATTAAATCGTTTTATTGTTTTATCAAATGCCTTTTAATTATAAACAAGACGAAGATGTTATGCTGACTTGTCATTTGTCAAAATTTAGTGCATTTCACACACATGTAGATCAACATTTCATAAATAACCCAAATAATATATATATATATATATCTATCTAACAGGTTTGCTTAAATAATTTAGACATACTATGTCTGTTTATTTTTGTTTTAATGCTTTCAAGTCAACAAATCAATTTCTTGGTAACCTTAAAAAATGGATAAGAAAAAGACCAAAATTTTCTTTCAAATAATTTTTATTTTCCCCAAGTACTTTAAGTCTCATCTGAGACCATCTTCAGGGGGTTAAATTGTCTGTATATGTATACATATATATGTAAATTCAAAACATTTTTACTGTTCATTTTACTGTGATTTTTATCACTCTATATCAATTTCAAATTAACCAAGTTTTTTTTCCCCCCATGCAAGGGAGGTCACTTTTGCAGTTCCCTATTTATAATTAAGTGTGTGTGTGTGATTTATTTATTTATATATATAAAGTAAACATTGAAGTCAACACTTAGAGGTGACAGGCTGTTCCACTTTTATATTTACACAAGCTCTACCTCTGATATCGAGCACACCTTAAGAGTATATTTCTTCATATATATATATATATATATATATATATATAATTTTACTGCTACAAACATTTAAGAACTTTATTGCTATATTCATAGTTGACTTCTATTTTTGGCTTTAATTCTCTTATATCAAGTGTTTCTAGGATTTTAAGTTTTTGCTTATTATTTTGGTGTAATAGTTATATTTCCTACTAATATCTGTCTAAACTGTGAATGTTGACAGATGTATTCCTTTAAATGCTGGAAGATTGAGCTATGCTCATCCAAGTGAAATGTAAGCCTTCTCAACAGCATCGTTGTTGTAAAACCAACATACATATTAACATTTTTATCAGAGATGCAATCTCTCAAAGGACATCTAAATTGATATAAAATGACAGAACAATTGTTTTTGACAACTAGATTGGTTACATTAAATTTAGTGTACAACCAACCTCACTGTTTTTACTTGGATCAGTCGGGGATATATTAGTGTTTAGGAGTCTTTTTAGAATTTTTCCTTCCTGCTTATGGTTAGAAAGCATTTGATTCAGTCAGTTATGTGTTATCTGTGATACATGTTTAGGTGATCATGTATCTTTTGATACATGACTGATGAGGCAGATCTTTTTCCTGCAGTAGGTTGCCATTTCTTTCTGCAGTAGACCAGTTTCCATCCAAGGCTATAGAACCTGGTCTGTCCTGCTATTTGCCCATAGCTGAGGGTGGGGGAAGAGGAGGATTCATACCTTACCCAAAGGTATTAGCTAAGTGAATGTAATGGATTTGACTGGAATTTGAACTTGGCTCTCCAATTCCTCAATCTGAGCTGCTACCTATTACTCCACCATGCCTCCTATATATATATGTGTGTGTGTGTGTCTGTGTGTTTTAAGGTATGCTATATTTATGGGTTAAAGTGCTCAATATCAGCGATAGAGCATGTGTAAATATAAAAGTGGACACTGAAGTCAACACCCAGAGGCGAGTATTGCACTTAGCATAATATAAATTTATATAAATCATTTCACTCTAAGCAAGTTGGAAATGCCACTAGTCGGCAGAGGGTTACAGGGAATGAAAGTGAAAGATAAAACTGAGAATAGGGAGGATTGAGGAAATGACAAAAGATGAACAGGATATGAGGAGACAGATTGCAAGTGATGTTGCATTTAAATTTTTGAAGATTGTAGTTATCAGGGAAGCAAGTAAATGGAAGTAAAGAAAAGAAGTGGCATTTGCCTTTAGCTCTTTCAACAGTAAATGAGTGGGACCTAACTGCCAATCTAGTAGCACTCTTAAATTCATGTAGTCAGGGCACTTGGTGAGAAAGTGACTGAACTTGAGATGCATGATGTCAGGCAGGAAAGGTTCTCTATGGTGGTCAAATGAAAGTAGGTGTTGTTTTTTTGGAGGCGTTAAAATTTACAAGCCATTTCTTGCCCCAGTTAACCACTGATTGGAGGCCCTTTTCAAGAGCAATTAACTTGTCAGATTTGCTATTGAGACAGGTGTAAATGATGGTATTGTCATCTGTATAAATACCTGGTTGGAAACTGATGACATTGGGAAGGTCGTCGTTGAAGATCAGAAATCACATAGAGGCCAGAATAGAGCCTCAGGGGCACCTGTGATCATGTGAAAAGATTCTGTGTTAAATGTTTCAACCTCTGAAATGACTTCATCAGAATTTATTTAGCATATTCTTTGATATTTTCCACTCGAAAGAATCTCAAGTAGACTGTGGTGTATCAGTAGTCCAGGTGAGTACTCTGGGCTTGAACATAAGTGAGAGCAAGGGAAAAAATGAATTTCTCAAGATATTTCGATATAACACAATCACCTCATCCAACAGTAATGTCACACATCGAATAAAAGTGCTGAGTCTAACTTACGACAAAAGACTATCATTTTCAAGTGATTTTAGAACTGAAGTGATTACCAGTATCCAAATTTTCAACCAATCAGAGCAGCCCTGTACTTAATATGTAAATATCATGCAATTACAGCCAATCGCAAATTCGTTTATAATTATTCAGTGTGGAGTTATCACAACTACTATGATGTAGACACTGTTCATCACATAACTGATGAACAAATGAAAAGAATCTTTGACAGTGATGATGATGAAGAATAACTTTTGACGTTTCGGTCCTGATGAAGTTTAATCACTATATCAAAATGAATAAACACTTTTATTATGTTTTAATATATGTAAGCAAAGTTTTGAAATAAAGGTGAATATTTTAAAATATTTAACAAATATTAGTTATATTTACATTAAAAATGGCTATGTAACTCCCCAGATTATAATGCGGCTTATCTGTGTGTCAACCGCAAACGCCCATTTTGACAACCCCAAACTAAAGGTGTGACCTATCTGCAAATATATAATTATTAAATATTTTACTTATTTGCTTTATTTTACTTATCTTTGAATGCTACTGGTACCATGTCAGCCAGTACTATGTTCTCCATGTATCTCCATAAAAAGAAAGAAAAAATCAAGAAAAACAAATTTAATTGTACTTCATAGCCCTCCCCACTATCCCCAATTTTACCCACTGAATAGCATATTTTAGCATGAAAATAAGACTAATCCTGACAAATTCATCACAAACCAGAAGAAATACCAAATTTATGGTAACTATTTAAAATATAATGATTTAGAAGAGAAGTTAGAGTGTATAATACCATTGGAACCTAACCTTAGTGCAGCCTGATATCCTCACTGATTGTGGCGAATTCATCACAATCCAGGATGGAGCACTAATTTTAAGTTACATTTTGATACAGAAATAAGGTTTGGTTTGCTTTGTTTTACAGCATATCAACTTCTATGTCTTATTTAATGCCAGACCAGATTTTTATTATATATATATATATATATATATATATATATATATATATATATATATATTTTTTTTTTTTTTTTTTTTTTTTTAGAAAGTATTTCTGGTAATAAAAAAATACAAAAATCTATTGCTGGTATTAAAACCTATTTTTACACGTTTTGACCCCAGTTTGGGCGTTAACTATTTACCCATAGCTGGGACCCCTGCATTTTTTTTTTTTTTTTTCTCAACGTGTCATGTACCTGTAATATTTGGTGGTAATGTTAATTTATACTGCAAGCAATATATATAATGAATATAATAAAAGTTGACTATTTTGCAAAAAATAATTCAATATCAAAACATTTAAAAAGTAATAAAAAAAATAAGCAGTTTATTAAGACAAAAACAAAAATTATATAACCTTAATCTTTACAAATGATTCCTTAACACAACCTGGACACTGGTCGCATACCGATAGCTGATGGTTTGTGTAGTGGCACTGGTTTGCTGGCCACCACTTTGAGTAGCATTGCTTTATATGACATGGTAGTTTTTGGAGATATTTTATCGGAAAAAAATCTTATAAGCAGCAAAATAGAATAAATATTTGTGTATATTTTGTGTCTACGATTATGTTGATGCCTGATGTCTAAATAAAAGGAAAGTGTATTATGTGACTAGTTGGTCCAAGCAGACTCTCCTTGACAACACTAGTAACTGTAACTAGTAACCATTTAACTGGTTAACTAGTAACTGGATATAATAGTGCAAGGCAAAGTCAATAAGAAATCTTCATGTGTCTCATCTATATTTCTTATCATAAAAGTTTTTTTTTTTCTTTGTGTTTTTTTTGTGGTTTTTTGTTTTTTTTGTGGTTTTTTGTTTTTTTTGTGGTTTTTTTTTTTTTTTTTTTTTTTTTGTTGTTTTTTTTAAAGATCTGAAATCCTCATTATCAGTAATCTAGATTAGTTTATACCAATTGCATAAATAGCTTCACTCAAAATTTTAAGTTAATTTGGAAACCCTGGACTTGTTTTACTTTTCAAAGGCTCAGTATTGAATGTAACTGGGATATTGGTGCTGGTCCCAAACTAATAATTCCTATCTCTGACCTTCACTTTATAGGGCATAGGTTTTTTTTTTTTTTTTTTTTTTTTTTTAGATATTTTATAGGAAAAAGATGCATCTTATTAGCAGCAAAATGCAGTAAATAATTGTGCATATTTTGTGTCTATGATTATGTCCATGCCGGATGTCTAAATAAAAGAAAAGTGTATTAAATAACCACTTGGTCCAAGCAGACTCCTTGACAACACTAGTAACTGTTTAAATGGTAGCTGTAGTAACTGGATATAATAGTACAAAACAGTCAATAAGAAATCTTCCTGTGTATCACCTATATTCCTTGTCAGAGAAAAAAAACTGTCTTCATTTGATGTTTTTTTTTGTGTGTGTTTTTATGGTTTATCAACCTTTTGCAGGTTATTTAAAGCCAGAAAATAGTTTTAGATTGTAAGATTTTTTTCTCTATATATCTCTGAGATGAGGTATTACTTGCATTATTTACATCATTCAGACTGTTATCCTCATCTTCATTACTATATTCACAATGTTTTGGCTGTTGTATGCTCCAGCCTTCTTCAGGTGACTGGAATTTTGAACTGAACTGTTTATTTCATCTACCAGGGTAGGTTGTTCTAGTTCCACCTGACATGCCTCTTCCAGATGTCTCAGTTATTTCCCTTTAACCCAACTCTTCAAATTTTCGTTCACAACTGCCAGGGCCTGGTATTGAACTCACAACTCTTTGGGTCTAGTCACTGGATCTAACAAGCATCTTTATCCATTCGGCTATTTATCTTTGAAGAAGGCTGGAGTATACAATGGCTGAAATGCTGTGAATATGGCAATGAAATGAGGATAACAGTCTGAATAATGTAAATAATGAAAGCAAGAATTTTTTGTGGGTAATGATTTGCTTGATACAAATCTGACTAATTAACCCATAGCTGGAGGAAAAAAAGGTGGATTAATAAGATTCTGTTGTCTCTACACTAATTGTTGAACATACACTCATCAATTCACAATGAGTAGGATGTCTGCTCTTAGGAACAGGGGTTGCAAAGTGGGCCACAACATGTAGCATTAAGTTGTACGCATTGCTGCACTAAAATACAGTATTCACTATTGTTTTATTAATCCATGTCCCTCATGTGATTACATTTTTTTTCCCTAATCTTTTTCCAATTTTTTTCCTTAAAGATCTATTGACCAGAACTTATACGAGCATTATGGCCCCTTTCCTAAGGGTATTTGCATATCAGTGAATATAATGACCCCAACTGGAATTGAAACTCGGCTCTCCAATTTCCAATTCGGGTTTGTTATCCATTACACCACTTGCACATCCAAGCTTACAGAACCTGGTATTCCCAAGTGGTCACCCATTTAGGTAGTGACCAGACTCAACATTGCTTAACTTTAATTGTTCAACAGAAGAGAAATGGTAATAAATCTGTATAAATAAGAACTTTTGGGATCAAGGCCATAAGCCAAGAAGAAACTGGACCAGAAAAAAAAAAAACTATTTCTGGAATATTTGGATAAACACTTTATATGTTCTTTTCGTTTCCTTTCTTTTTTAATTATGGATGAATATTTTTTTTTTTTTCAAGGCCAAATTTTCACCCCCTCAACCAATTGGGTGAGGCTCCAATTGTGTTAAAATGGTTTTCTATACTCCTAGTCATCTGCATCTGATGTCTTTCTCTCTAACCTGTACTTTACCTAGTATGGCTTGCACCAATCCCTGTATGATCACCAAAGTTAAGCACCACCAACCCTGGTCCATACCTTGATGGGTGACCATTTAAGAATACCAGGTGTTGTAAGCTTAGATTGCATGAATGGTGTAATGGCTCGGAATTGTCAGTTGGGGAGAGTTCCAATTCCTGTTGGGCTTGTTAGATTCACTGGTATGATTTAAAAGTATGAATCAAACTCTTCTCCCCACAGCTATGGGTTAATTAGTAAGACTTGTATCACTAAACCATTATCTCAAAAAATCTTACAATCTAAAACTATATTCTGGTTTTAAATAACCTTCAGAGAGTTGATAATCTGTAGAAATCAATCAATGAATCAATCAATTAATTACTGTATACCCTGGCAATAAAGGTAGAAATTTTTTTTCTTAAAATAATTCTTGAAAATTTTAAAGCTTTTACAGTATATTTTTATCTTTTCTTTTTTCTATAAAGGTATGATGCTGGTGATCATGTTGCAGTCTTCCCAAGCAATAATCCTGACTTTGTTGAACGAATTGGAAAACTTTTAGAAATCGATCTTGATACTGTGTTCACCTTGAATAATGTTGATGGTGAATATTTTGTTTCTCTCCACTTCTGTGTCTTTAATTCAAATGTCTTGTTCATGTCTTACCCCCCCCCCTCCCCCCAACCCCTCCCACAAATATAACAAACCAAGCCTTTTTGACTGAAGTGCAACAAGAAGAATAACTTATTAAAATTTTTGTGTGACCTTTGCTGCTTCCAACAATAACATAATCATTTAGTGCCTGGACATTGCAGTTGTTTTTCTTCCTTTCCTTCTCTTTTACTTTTTTCAGTTTTTTTCGCTTTTTTTTTCTTTTCTTTTTTTTTTTCTTTTTTTTTTTTTTTTTTTTTTTTCGCTTTTTTTTTCTTTTTTTCCTCATCCATTGTGACATGCCGGTAACAAGACTAATAATAAAACAGTGTACAGGGAGAGACAGTTTCATACCTTTGCCAAGGGTATTTGGCATGAAATGAACGCAAACAGCTTCCTCTACATTTGGAACTTGGCTTGAAGATCTGATTTTTATGCTAATAAGGGCCTCTCCAATTCTTTTTGGGAAAGTGAATGCTAGAATTTTGACCATTTTAAAAAAAAAAAAAAAAAAAAAAAATTATTTACCTATTTTCTACAATTTCAAAATAACTAGTTTCTGATATCATGAAGCCCCCACCCCTCTACTTACATTTAATATTACAGCATTATCGACATAGTTTATGTGCAAGTAACATTAGGCATAGTGGAGTAATGAATTGCGGCTCCGAGGAATCAGAGCCAATTGTGAATTTCACTTGAGTTCATTCCATTCACTTATATGCTAATACCCTTGGGAAAGATATGTACCCAACTCTTCTGGCCTGAAGAGGCACAGTGGAGTAATGAATTGCGACTTGGATTGAGGAATTGGAGAGCCGATTTCGAGTTACATTCATTCATGTGTTAATACCCTTGGGAAAGGTATGAATTCATCTCTTCTCTCTCCAACTATGGGTAAAGGTCCTATAGCCTTGGGTGTTATCCAGTCTAGGAGAAGGAAAATCTCAAAATTCAAAACCAGCCTGGAGAGAATTGGGCTCTGTCAGGCTATCTTGCCCAGATGACGCCCTGGTTACAGTACATGTGGTGCCACCATGACCTTAGACAGTTACAGGTGAAAAAAAAAAACCCAAAAAACAAATAGAATCTGGAAATAGTAAAATGATTTCCAAAAGTTAAGCAGAGTATTAAAAAACGGGAAAATTTCATTAAAAACAAAGAAACGTGTTTCCATTTCTGAGATGAGGTATGATAACTATTTACATTCTTCGGACTGTTGTTCTTATCTTCATTGCCATATTCGCAAAGTTTCAGCTATTGTATGCTCCAGGCTTCTGCAGGTGATATACATTGGAATTTCAAACTGAACGCTTTTTGTCCACTGGGGTAGATTGTTCTAAGTTTGCATGGCCAAGTGGATAAAAGCATTGGCTGAAGTAATCCAAAAAGTGACTTGACTCAGAGAGTTGTGAGTTCAATCCCTGGCATCAGCAGAGGGAACAAAATCTTGGAGAGTTGAGTTATTAAAGGCAATTAACTTAAACTGAGGTGTTCAAAAAAGCAAGGTACATGGAATTAAAACAATCTACCCCCATAGACTAAATAAAAGGTTCAGGTCGAAATTCCAATGACATCACTTGAAGAAAGCTGGGCATACAACAGCCGAAATGTTGTGAATATGGCAATAAAGATGAGGACAACAGTTCAGATGATGTAAATAGTATAAAATGAAAATTGTGCTAAACTGCCTTATTATATTAATTTTCCTATATGGCAGCTAATTACCTTTTATAAATGAAGAGCTGTCTTGATACAACAGGGAAGTTCTACAGAAGACTGCTGAGAATACTAGAGACAGAACATGAAGAAATTTTAATGAAAAAGGAAACAAGAAGAACTCTTGTAATTCAGGAAGAGACAATTGAAATTTCTAGGGCACAATGAGGAAAAAAGGCTTGGAAAATTTGACACTCACAAGACATTGAAGCTCAAGAGGGACAGAGGTAAACAGCAAGTGACCTACCTGATGAATTTGTGTAAATGTATGGCAGAAAGACAAATGTTAGTAAGAGCTACAAAGAATAGGATGTTGTGGAGAGTCATTATCAACCCTCTTTTGAAGGGACATGGCACATAGATTAACTTTCCAGAAATTTCAATAGTTCATGTAAGAGCTGGGAGATATTTTGTGATTTTTTTTTTTTTTTTTTTTTTTTTTTTTTGGAGGGGGGTGTTGGGAAAGAAAGTGCCATTGAATATGATAATAGTAGTTATATTTTCCTTGCAAAATTACTTGATGGAAAATAATTCCGTTTTTAAAAAAATTAAATAATTAGATAATTATTTAATTAAATTTTTATTTTTATTTTTTTTGTCTCCTGACTGGCCAAGGTTCCATTTTGAAAATTGTTATCTGTGTCTGAGCTCTTAGGTGTTTTTTTCCTTCTCCTTCAGTTGAAGCCAATAAAAAGCATCCTTTCCCGTGCCCTACAACATATCGTGTGGCTTTGACTCATTATGTTGACATTATGAACCCCCTGAAAAGTCACGTCCTGAAAGAACTCTCAGATTATGCCAAAGAACCAAAAGATAAAGAATTTATGGAAAAGATTTCATCCACTTCTGCTGAAGGAAAGGTAAGGATTTTTTTTATTCATTTATTTATTTATTTTTTTTTAATTTCCTCTCTAACCATTTTTTTTTCTTTTTTTTGGTTAATTTGGACTAATTTTTCTCTAGTCTTTTTTTACCTCCCTTAATTGTTCACCCGTGCCACTCATCTCTCTTCCTTTCCAGTTTTTTTTCTATATGATATTTATTTTTTTAAAACTTCTCTCCCCAAATGTTGTCTTTCATCCTTCATATTCTTTTGCCCTTTCTCCATACACCCCCAATTATTTCCTTTTTGATATCGTTGTCCAGGTTTTCCTATCCCAAATATTAATTTATTCCAGCTTGGGAAGTCCAGGGATAATACGATAATCTAATCCTATACAGAAAAGTTGAATAATACTATAGAGAGTGTGTATGTACGCGCGCGCGTATATGCGTGTGTGTGTGTGTATGTATGTATGTGTGTGTGCATGCATGTATTTAAAGAACAAGTAGGAAACATTTATAGATGGAATGAATGTTGATGTCTTTGACGTAATTTGCATGTTCAGACAAGATGAAATTTGTCAAATTCTAATCCATATTTGGTCCCAATTCATTTTTTATATATATATATATATATATATATATATATATATATATATATGAAGAAATTTTGAAAAAAACAAACAAAAATCCTTAAATGTAGTTAAAATAAAAGAAAAATGTCGACGTCTGACGTTTTCTAAGGTTTTAAACCTTTTCAAGACATTTTCAAGACAATATTCATCAAAATACAATTCAGTTCAATATGACCAAAATCGATGGACATAAAAACACAAGTCTTATTCAGAACAGATAACTGAAAATTTTTAAAATGTCAGCCTTCCGTCTAACATGGTTATGACGCTTTCATAACGTATTTAAAGTTTGTGATTATTTTGAAATGAAAAAGAAAATGAAAAGAATTCTATTAGGTTCTAAAAAAATTCTTATGTGTATGCTTGTCGAGCAAAATAATCACAAACTTTTAGGAATACGTTATGAAAGCGTCGCCCCATGTGACGACGGCGTGACCATGTTAGACGGAAGGCTGATCATTTTAAAATTTTCAGTTATCTGTTCTGAATAAGACTTGTGTTTTTATGTCCATCGTATTTGTCATATTGAACTGAATTGTATTTTGATGAATATTGTCTTGAAAAGGTTTATTAAACCGAAACGTCAGACGTCGACATTTCTTTCATTTTAACTACATTTAAGGATTTTTGTTTGTTTTTTCAAAAATTTCTTCATTCTGTCGGATTTATATCCATTTACACTTGCTTATATATATATATATATATATATATATATATATATATATATATATATATATATATAATTAGGTACCTCTAAACAGTTTTATCATGAAAATGTTTATTATTAAGAGGAAAGACCAAAGTATTTATATATATATATATATATATATAATAGCTTGGTCACTTGTATTCAAGGATACCCATTTACTAGGGTGGCTAGCCAATCCCTATTGCAAGCCCTTGCTCAGGCACATTTGTATTTTCTCACCTGCGGTTTATACTGCAACTATTCTGAGCCAACCTTAGTTACAGTTTCTGGGAAAGAGTGTGTTATCTAGCGTGATCAATAATTTGAACAAGGCCATCACACTTAAGCCTTCAGCTACAATGACTTGTGGCTTCATGCTAGCACAGCTATCGATGACCCACAATAGTTCTGTCTACCCAATTTCACTCGCACGGCTTGGGTTAACCTGTGTTGTGGTTTTCAGGCACTTTCCAAAGGTGCCACACTCTGGGATCAACCTCAATCCAGTCCTGATAACATCAGAAAATCCCCTTCCTGACAAATCGACCATGGTGAGATTCAAGTCCAGGTCTCATGGTCAGAAAGCAAACGTTCTAACCACTTAGCCATGCACATATATATATATATATATATGTGTGTGTATATATATATATATAGGGTGTCCATAAAGTTTGTGTGCACTTTAAAAAATTTATAACTTTATTTGTATTTGCGATAGAAATAATCTGTAAAAAATGCTATAAAGTTTAATGTACCTAGTTTTAAGTATAGCTAAAATAACTAATGTGATTTCGGGCATTACTGTAAATTGGTTGGCAAATGTTTTCTGTGAACTGCAAAATCGTATTACCCTTTGTATTGCTAATGATAGAGGACATGTGGAAACTTAAATAAAATTTCACTAAAGCCTTAAAAAATATAGATTTACTTCTTTCTAATCCTTTTTACAAATTATGGCTATCACAAATACAAATAAAGTTATAAATTTTTTAAAGTGCACACGAACTTTATGGACATCCTGTATGTATGTATGTGTATATATATATATATATATATATATATATATATGGGCATCAGATCATTGTTTAAACATATATTGTTAAATATAACAGACAACAAATGTCTGTTTTACTGCGACAAGGAATTACCATTATTTGCATTCAGACAACATTTTGGCCATTGCACTCTCTGGCCTTCTTCAGATGTCTGTTGATTTGTGTAACCTTCAAGGAATTGTGAACTAAACCCTTTATTAAATCTATAGTAGTAGATTGTTCTCATTCTGCTCTCCATGTCTACGGATATATCATTTTGTTTTGTTTTTAGTACTGCTCCCTGACTGTTAGCTCTGTTTCCACTGAGTCCATGCTACTTGGCCCAGGGATTGAACTCCTAATTCCTATGACACTCAACATCATGAACCAACTCTTTAATCCTCTAGACCCTTTGTTCTAGTGGAAACAGGACTAACAATAACTGAGCAAGATAATCGCTAGACAAGAGGACCAAAACCATCTACCTATGTATATTAAATAAAGGGTTAATTTTAAGATTCCCTGAAGGTTACCTCGATTGATAGACAAGAATTAGAGATTTTTTTTTTTTTTTTTTTTTTTTTAACTCAAAATTAATACTTTTTTCTTTTACAGGAATTTGACATTAATGAGTTTTAAAAAAAAAAAATACTGAGATTTAAAAAATTATTTTCCATTTTTTTCCCCCCACTTTTTTCTTTTTTTTTCCTATTCTTTTCTTTCTTTCCTCACCGTATTTTTCATTTTGTTTTTTTCCATTAAAAAAAAAAAAAAATCCCCCCCCCAATTTAATAAAGGTATAAAACTGAAAATAAACTTTTTTTTTTTTCTTTTCTGTTTTATCCTCCTTTTTGGGTTTTTCCTGCTCCTCCCCACCTTTTTGGGCAATGATGGCATTCCTCTCCCCTCTTTTTTGTGGGTCTTTTTTCCTCAAACTTCTCCTCCTCCTTTTTTCCTCAAACTTCTCCTCCTCCTTTTTTCCTCTTCTTCCTCCTTTTTTCCTCTTCTTCCTCCTTTTTTCCTCTTCTTCCTCCTTTTTTCCTCTTCTTCCTCCTTTTTTCCTCTTCTTCCTCCTTTTTTCCTCTTCTTCCTCCTTTTTTCCTCTTCTTCCTCCTTTTTCCTTTTTCCCTCTTCTTTCTCCTTTTTCCTTTTTCCCTTTTTCCTCTTCTTCCTCCTTTTTTCCTCTTCTTCCTCCTTTTTTCCTCCTCCTCCCTTTTTTCCTCCCTCTCCTCTTTCAGTGATCTTTGTATTTCTATTAAATTGTTGAACAAATCAAATTTTGTCACTCTATGTTCATGAAATCAGTGAAGAATGAACTGACAATAGATACCAACTTAGACACTTGGTTACCAGGTTTATTAAAGATAATTTGGAATTTGAATTATTTTTGCACTTTGGCTGATGCTTACTTTTTCTTTGTTTTATTTTTTTTTTTTGTTATTTTAAAGTAATTGTTAATAAAATGTAACTGTTTTAATACTAGCTCCGTCTCATAATAGTCATTATATTTTCATATTCATTTCATACACTAAATGTCCCAACTATTATGGGACAAAAGCTATTATCTTGGATCTCTATTTTAATTTTCTGTCTCAATTTTAGCATTTTGATGTCAATTTTAAGGTTGACTAGATTAAGCAACAATCATTTTGCAAATTATTTTTTTTATTAAATTTAAAGAGAATCATCTGAAATTTCAAAGGCTGCAATAATGGCTTTTGTGTCTTTGATGTCCTTGCCACAAATCTGACTCCTGTCCATGTTTTTATTGTTATTTTCAGCAATTATACAATGAGTGGATAGTAAAAGATCATAGGAACATTGTCGCTATCTTAGAGGACATTCACTCTCTGAAGCCGGCTCCGGATCATTTGTGTGAATTGCTGCCCAGACTCCAGGCTCGTTACTATTCTATCTCCTCATCAGCAAAGGTCAGTCTGTAGAAAGTTTTACTCGTTTCATTGCGTTTTTAACATAAAACGAGTCTTTGTTTTGTCCACACACTGTCTCTCATAATCAACATCATCTCTTTGTCACCCTCCTCCATAGATCACGTTATGCCCAACCGATTTCAGGTTTTTCTCTTTTGTGCTTCTTCTGTCCGCTTCCTCTTTCAGCAGTATTTTCTGTATGGCTGGCTGGCTGTGTGTCTCAGTATGTCCTATACTCTTTCTCTTTGTGAGTTTCTCTCAATCTGTTCATGTTTTTGAGTGTTTGTGCATCTGATACTAAGTACTATTTCCCTGTGCATTCACATTGTGTGTTTACATCTGTCTATATAGCATTCCTGTATGTGTCTGTCTATTTCTGATTTTGTGCATCTCACAATATGGCCGTGTGTGCGCGCATGTTGGTCTTGTTGAACAATATGTATATGTCTTGTACAATTTTGTGTCCAGGTTCTTGCAACATGTCATCATTCTTAGCAGATCCTCTATTATCAGAATGTGGAATAGAAATTCTGTAATTATATTTCTGAAATATCAAACTTAAATATTTTTTCTTTGAAAGCTGATGCAAAAAATTGTTATTAAAAATGAGTAATTTTAATTTCATTGTGTTAAGAGTTTCGTTTTTTAGAAACTTTGTTTAGATTCAATAAATTATGAAACTTTATATTTACATTCAGACTATTAACTTTCGATCTCTCTCTCACACACACACACACACACACACACACACACAAAGTCGAAAAAATCAACATAACATCGATAACTGACACATAAATTAATTACATCAAACTTGGTATAATGATAATGGTAAATTAAGAAAAACAGCAGTCAATTGCTGAAACCTCTTGAGTGAACCAGATAATTACAAAAAGGTTAATCTACAAAATTCTGGAGTTGAAGTGCTGAATATAACATCAAGTAACAAGTTTTATTTGTAAACATTATATATTTATATATGAGACATGTTTCGTTGAATAATTTAGACATATTCTGTCTACTAATTTTCAATTGAATCCTTTCATATTCATGGATAAACTAAAAGTTCTTGAAGCTTTCTACATTAAAAAATTGAAACCAAACCTTAATATTATGAATACTCCACAAATGTCTTAAAATGTGTACAATAGATAGTTTAAAATATCTATGTTTTAAATAATAGTTGTTTTTTTTACTACTTATTTCGTTAAAAATCTCTCCACAGCCGTACTTAGTTACCTCCCCTTAAACGGTGTCAGCAATCTTGCACTGCCTCAGCGTTTGTCACTCCACATGCAAGAAATTTAACTTTCAGATGAACACAACAATTTTGTCTTTGACTATAATGAACACTGCAATATTTTCCTTGTAATAAACAATACCCTGATGATGACATTGTGCTATGTTGAAAGTACTAAGAATAAAAGAATTATGTATCAACACAGCAATTTTCTCTCGTTCTTCAATAATGACACCAAAAAGCTTATCTGTGAATATGAATGGATACAATTGGAAATAACTAGACAACATGTCTAAATTATTCAATGAAACATATCTCAGTAAAACATGCTGTAATATATATATATATATATATATATATATATATATATATATATATATATATATATATATATATATATATGTGTCTCATTATTTTTATAATAATCCATTCTAGTTCTCTAATTATCTTCACTACAATTGTAGTAGTAATGTCTTAAAATGCATTTGAGTTGATTAAAATTTAATGCCATGTTGCATTTTACTGTCTCTGGTTACACTCCTTGCATTGGGAATGCTTGTTTACCAAAAACATTGTTACTACAACAGTTATTTAAAAAATAATTATATCAGTGCATGTTCACACAAATCACCATCACAATGATCACAGTTACATTAAGTTGGTTTTGCAATTCACTCCTGAGGATGATCTCAGAGGAGATCGAAAGTACCTGGGTTAACAAGAACTACATGCCTTCCTTGATAAATTTCAACAACATCAAGAAGCAAATTAGAGAACTAGAAAGGATTATTAAAAAAATAAATAGACATATATCTATATTATTTAATGGAACCTGCTTGAATGAAGATATACTGCCTAAATAAATATATATAACTGAATGGATAAATATATGTAAGTATACGAGCGAGTGATCGATCGTATAAAAATATATATAAATACTCTATAGTGTAAGAAAAAAACAGTGCTCAATATAAAGTAACAGCTATTTAATATATATTGAGCAATATGCATAATATCTTACATTAATTGCACAATTTTCAAGTGCTGGAATTATAATATTTATTCTTATTTCTATTTATATATTGGGTCAACACCAGTCTTCGTTTAAAAAATTTTTTCTGGGTCACACGAGATATTATTGTTGGGGTGGAATATTATTGGAGTTTAAAAAAAATTAAAAATTTTAGTTTCATTTTAAATTTGAATTTAAGCTTAGATTAATCTTTAAGATTGAAAAGAATGTTGGAAATAATACAAATCTAAATTAGGGAGATGCTGGTTTTGAAAACAGAAATAAACAAAGAAGGGGTACTAGGAGGTTGTGGTGGGGGCAGCTCTATATTTTAGCAAAAATTAAGAGAGTTACTGATAATTATAATACTAACCTAACCGGACTAATGATATCAGTAACAAAGCATTCCATGATAAAATAATATACTGTAATATACAATAAAATAATATACTATAACATACTGCAAAATAAGATGGAATAAGTCATAATAAAGTACTAGTAATAATAATACTTTATATACTTATGAAAATAAGTAATCAGTTGTGAAAAAGAGACCCAAAAGATAATTTCTGAATTTTTCTTTTTTTCAGGTGCACCCCACCAAAATCCATATCACTGCAGTTCTTGTTGATTATGTCACACCTACAGGTCGACCAACAAAAGGCGTGGCCACAGGTTTTCTTTCACTTCAGAAACCATCCAATGATAATGCAAGAGTCCCCATATATGTCCGTAAATCCCAATTCCGTCTCCCATTTAAACCCTCCACACCAGTCATCATGGTGGGTCCCGGGACTGGTATAGCACCTTTCCGTGGATTTATTCAAGAACGAGATTACCTCAAAAAGCAAGGTAAAATTGTTTTTGTTTTTTTTTTGTTTTGTTTAATCAATTTCACCCACCTCCCAAGCAAGGCAATAATGCTGCTAAGATGCAAGTGAGAGTGAAAAAGAATGAAAAAAAACTTTAGAAGGGACCCAAAACCCAATCCTAAACAGAAAACAAGGGATAAACCTTTACTCCTGCTCAAAAGACTGTGGAGGAGTGTGAACTGGGCGTAGGTTACCTATCTACTCCAAAAATATCATACAAACCCCCACGTTTTTTTTCCAGTGAATTTTAAGAAAATACATGCCAAAATGGGTTTTTGACCAGTAGCAGCTTTTATTTAATTTTGTGTTCATATAGGCTGTGGCAGAAATACCTCCCACATAATGGTAAGACATTAGCAAGATGAAGACACCACTTGCCACTTACTTATGTCTTAATCATTATGTGGAAGTTATTTCTGATGCATCCTGTTTCAATATTATTTTTAGTGGGAACATATTTATTACATATATTTATTATATATTTTTATTATGTATTTATTACATATATTGGTAGTAATAAAGAAATAATGTCAGAAATAAAATCCATTCAAAAATTCTTTTTCTCGATGAATCTTTTGTAATGTTTCTTCATTTACAATAATGAAGGTTCAACAATTTTGCTTATATAAAATACTGTTTAGAATTCATGTTCTTATTGTTTTTCTTCTCTTATTGTTACTGTTTTTTATCTCTTGAAAATAAGTGCTTAACACCTTGAAATGACTGAATTTGTGGAATCCAAATTTGTCCATTAATTTTATTTCAGTTTTTTTTTTTTTTTTTCAATTTAATATTTTTTTTCACTTTTATATATTTCTTTACTTTTTGGGGGGACTTTTCTATATTATTTGAATTTTTTTCACTTTTATATTTTTTAATTTTTGTATCTTTTAATTTTTTCACTTTTATATATTTTATATTTTAAATTGTTTTTTTTTTTAATGTTTCCTTATATTTCTGTCTATATCTCTGAGATGAAGTATTATGGTTACTTGCATTATTTACATTATTCAAACTGTTTTCCTTACTTTCATTGCCATATTCACAATGTTTTGGCTCTTGTATGCTTTGGCCTTCTTCCTCAAGGACACATAGACCAGTGGATAATGATGTTGATTAGATCCAGTGACTAGACACAAAGAGTTAAGTTCAATACCAAGCCACAGCAGTGGTGAACCAAAATTTGGAGAGTTGAGTTAAAGGGAAATAACTGAGACATCTGGAAGAGGCATGGAACTAGAACTATCTACTTAGGTTCAAAATTCTAATTTCCTGATGAAGACCAGAGCATACAATGGCCGAAATGTTGTGAATATGGTAATGAAGATGATGATAACAGTCCCTTAAAGTATTTTTACACTTTATATTTCTAAATTGCTTATTCTTAACTGCAAACTTTATATATTCTGACTGATATTTATTCTTCATCACAATTGGTTGTCTTGAATAAGTGAGGAAAGAAAATAAGCTGCTATGGTAGTTCATTTCGTTAGTCCAATGCTTAGTAAATTTGAAATTCCACATTTGTGATATTTTTTTTATCTTTTTGTCAGACTGTATAAATTCATTTGAAGAATTTAGAAGTAATTATATAAATTAAAGTATTTTATACATCTGCTAAAGACTTTTTGAGTCTGGCTTCTTAATTCTATTTTTGTAATGTCTAGTTTAATATCAGATCTTCCAGCTTTCTACATGCCTGAACCTTTCTTTTCTTCTTTTTATTTTATGTGAGTTTTTCTTTCTGTTTTAATAGAAAAGGTTGTTGGTGACACAATTCTCTATTTTGGCTGTCGACATAAGGAACAGGATTTTCTCTACCATGAGGAACTGGATGAATATTGCAATAACAAAACGCTGACTAAACTGCATGTAGCTTTCTCTCGTGACACGGACAAAAAAGTCTACGTCCAGCATCTATTGAAAGAAAATAAAGACGAAGTGTGGCAAGTGATTGAATCTGGTGGTCACTTTTATATTTGTGGGTGAGTTGGTCATTAATCTTGTATCATCTGTGAAACTTGTTTGCAAATAATTCCAGTGCTTCTGGGCTCAATGCTTGTATGTAAGACTCAGGGTTGATATTTGTTCAGTGTGAGTTTATATATGAGTGCGGACCAATAAATTTGTAGCCTCTATTCATTAGCTAAGTTTTGAACTGAAACTTTGATTTCATAATGTTCTATATGAGATATATATAAAGTACACAATAAAATCCAAAATTATCTCGTATTTCAACCAACAAAATTTATCTTTCTTATTCAACCCCAGTGTAGTTCATGTCGGAATTAGAAATTTAACTGTGACAGCTTAAAAAAAAAAAAAGTGGAAAAACTAATACAGATCTTATCTATTTCAATGTTTCATTCAGACAAAAGGCAGTGGTCAGGGGAGGGTGGAAGGTATTAGTCTTAAATGGAAAGAGGTTTTTATAAATTAAACCCAGATATTAACCTTATGATGTTAAATTGGGGTTATATGAAGAATGAAATGTTAATTTCAAACTAAGAGAGGAATAAAAAGGGTATTTTTAAAAAAGAAAGAAAAAAGAGCTTTTTTTCAGCTGTCACAATTTAATTTCTATTCTGACACACTCAGTCTATTGAATAAGACCAATGAATCTCGTCGCTTGAAATAAGCCTGTTCCCCATATGAGGTGAATTTGGATTTTATTACGTACTAATTATTTGCTCTGTAATAAATACATTGAGTTTTTTTTGTGGATCAGTTTTAGTATTTTATATTACTAGAATCCACTTGGATTATATACCAATGGATTTATTACCTTTACTACACAAGACACTTATACACACACTGATACCAATATATACACTTACACACATCATACACACTCCCAAAGAACTAAAAGATAACATACACTTCACACACACACACACACACATGCCCTTCCCAGCAACCAATAAAACTGTCAAAATGACCAAGAAGAGAATTCTGTGACTCATGAATTTCCCCAGCCTCTATCTGAAAAACAACTTGAAAGGAGCCATTTGACCAACACAAGTACTGACCAAAATTATGATTAAATAAACAAATGAAAACTACAAAGTTCATTTTCTTCAGAAAGTCATTCATCCCTGTAGTTCACGGCTAATAACAAGTACAAATTTTTTTTTCTCTTGATGATGGCCATGCTTTCCGAAAATAATTGAGGAGCCTAATTGAAATAATATAACAAAAAAAAAAAAAATTAATATGTAACCCATAATACATTTTTCACTGTTCAACACACACATATATATATATATATATATATATATATATATATATATATTATTATTATTTTTTTTTTTTTCTTTGATTTCTGGTGTTTACACATTTCTTTCCAGGTCCTGCCCAGGGACCTAAGGTTAGAAATGGCATCATGACACTTTCCACTGACAAAAAAAAAAAAAAATATTACATAGATAAAGCCCTTCGTAAAGTGTGGGCTGTACTTGTTTTTTGTATCTCCTTGAGGCATGGACTTCCAGGAATCCCTTCAATTAGTCTACTGCAATCTTTTCCAATCAGTCCTAGGGCTCCAACTACAAAAGGGGTTGTTGATGTTCCCATATTATTATTATTAATAATAATAAATAAATAAAAAATATCACACATTGAATGCTGGTGTTGATAAAATAGTGCGCAATATAATAGAGCTATTAAGTATATTATTAAATATAAATATAATTCCTCGCTGGTAGCATGAGTTGGAATTTCATGCACAATGCAATCTTCGTTTTTTTTTTTAGTTTTTTTTTTTTTATTTGGTCTATTTTACCCAATGCTAAAATGTATTTGGAGTCTGTTATTGTGCATTAATTTGTACTTTTTTTTTTTTTTTTCTTTCTTTCTTTTCAGTGATGCCACACGAATGGCTCGTGATGTAAATGAAACGCTGCTGTCAATAATAATGGAATGTGGTAAATTTACTGATAAAAGTTATGCAGCTGATTATATAAAGAAAATGCAGGCCCGAGGACGCTACTCTTGTGATGTTTGGAGCTGAATGCACTTGTACTCCAAGAAGATACTTACAGGCCTTATAGAAATCTTACATCTCCATACATTGTGAACTCTGAAAAAAAAAAAATAACATTTTGACTTTGTACTTGGGCATATTCAGATTTTTATAAAAGATTTTTTGTTATTCTTCCTAAACCATTGGATTATTTTTTAAGCAATGAAATTGAACCTGGACAAATACAAAACATTCCTCTAGTTGATCAATATTTGATTAACATGAGCTAGATTGTTTTTTTTTTCTTCTTTTAGAATTAAGAAAATAGCCTCCTTTTTTTTTTTTTTTTTCTTAATACAAGAAAGTCAAACAAAAATACATATTGTTCAATGAGACATGGCTAATAAAATAAAGTGAGTTGTATTATGAAGGTGGTCAACAAATTCCATTTCATTTACTTAGCTACAAATAGGTGAGCTAAAGCAATCATTTGGGTACACCAGGCTTATCTGCAGACATACATGTGTGCACGCACACTGACATCTGTACTTGTGTTACTCTATACACAACCACTGAAATTTTGTGTATTTAATTTCAACTTGTCACATACTACTAAACAAGTATACATAGATACAACAATATGTAGGGTACTTACTCATGAAGTGATGGTTAATGAGCTAGAGGAAGTTTGAGATGAATGGTTGCTAATATTCAGTGAAAAAATATATGGTCTCCAGCTCTTTTTTTTTTTTTTTTTTTTTTTTAAATCTGTATATTTGGTTTGGTTGCTAAATTTTATAGCCTTGACTACATGGAATTTTGTTGAGTCAAGTCTGTCCGCAAATGTTCGTTTGGGTAGGGGATGTTAACAGTGAAGATTAGAAATTAACCAAAATTTAAATGAAATTTAACAGCAATATTCAGGCATACAATTCTCTGTGTGTATGTGTATTTTCATGTGATATGCAAATAAAATTGCATAAAATATTCTTGAAAATTCCCTATACACACAATTGTGCAAATATTGTATATGAAATGTACACACTAAAAAAATAAATTGGTGACTTTTATAAATACTTAAAAAAAAAAAAAAAAAAAAAAGTGTGTGTATAAGTATGTATATATATATATATATATATATATATATATATATATATATATATATATATATATATATATATATATATATATAATAAATAATAATAAAAATAATATACTAATTAATAATAATAAATATTTTTGTTTTTCACCATTTGGTACAACTCTGAGTTTCATGCATGTCATAATCGTCATGCATGGATTGAAATCTGTGCCTGATTATCATGTGCATGAAACTTAGTTGTGTCAAATGGTGAGAAATAAAATATATAATTTTATTAATATGAATATTAGCTCTGTTATTTTACATTGAGCATTTTTTATTACCACCAACACCACTGTGCTATTTCATTCATATATATATATATATATATATATATATATATATATATATATATATATATATATATATAATAAAATATAGTGTTAATGTGCTCAATATCAGTGATAGAGCTTATGTAAATATAAAAAGTGGATATGAAAGTCAGTAACCAGCAGTAACAATCTGTTTCATGCTTAAACAATCTTCATGTCATGTCCTGAAGTTTGTGTTAAAGCAATGTCCACTTGTGTGTGTGTGTGTGTGCGTGCACACTTGTGTATATACCCATACATTCCTAATAGTAAGTACACACACACACACACACACTGAAGACAGAAGAATTGGTTACAAGGCTCCATGCTCTCTATTTTGTAGTGGTTGTTGGAAGGAAAAAGAAAATGGCTCTTCTTGAATGAAGAAGAAACAAAAAAAATGTCTATATTTCACCATTTTATCAAATGTAAGAAAGAATAAGAAAAAAATAAAACCAAATAAAAGATTTTTCATTGAAACCAAATCAGCTCTACTTTAGGCCAGTCACTTGGACCAAATTGTGCCTACTTGCTCGAAGAATAAAAATTGTTAATGAAGAATAAAAAAGAAAAAAAAAGTGAAAAGTTTGTATATAAAGTAATTGTTTTAAAAGAAAATAAAGATAAATAAAATAAATTTTTATTTTGTGTTCTCTCTCTCTCTCTCTCTCTATATATATATATATATATATATATATATATATATATATATATATATATATATATATATAAAAATATACAAAGTGGATTAAAAAATCCATAGACTGACACAGGTAAATTCTGATTGGGAATATGAGGTGCTGTAAGCCGTACATTGGAACATTTCAGATGTTCTATTTTATTATAAGTTCTTATTAAATAAGTTTGTTTAAATGTATATCAGTAAGTAATTCTCCCTTTCTCATACTTCATAATGATTTTTATTTATCCTTTCTTGTAATTTAAGGCTTATGGCCATATCACATTGAAAAACTGGTTCTTGTGCAGTCACTGAAGTTAAGCAATATCAAGCCTGGTCAGTACCTTGTTTGGTGACTACTTAGGAACACCAGGTGCTTTAAGCTTGGATGTGTGGGTGGTCTAATGGATAACAGCTTGGAATTGGTTCATTATATTCACAAATACCCCCTGGGAAAGGCATGAATCCACCTCTTCTTGTGACAGCTATGGATTAATTAGTGGGACTTGTATCAGGAAACCATTTATCAGCTTCCAAAATTCTTACAATATAAAAATTTCTGGCTTTAAATAACTTGCAAAGGGTTGATAGACCATAAAAAAATGGATCAACCGATCAGAAATGCCCAGTAAGAATATCATGTCTTAATTTTCTATAAGAATTTTTTTTATTTTGTCTGAAACTTGTTAATAGAATGTTCTAGTTATGTGTCTGTTAGGATTTGAATCTGTCTAATTTGTTCGTTTTACCAAATCTTAATTTATGTATATTTTAAAGCTTCAATGGGCAGTTGGTGTAATGGATAATGGCTTGGAATTGTTAATCAGAGAGCCGGATTTCAATATTACTTGGGTTCATTATACAGGGTGTCCTAAAAAATTTGACATCATTTTGCAGGCCAATAATTAATTTTTGCAATTCTTGTTGAAATAATCTCAAATTTTCACAGAATGTATAGAATCAGACTGACCTGATGGTGTGTCACCTTAACATGGTAGGATGGCTTGCATGCTTCAACAACCTCCCAGAATTATGTGCGCAGGGGTTTTGGTCCTTAGCAGGTTCAACAAAACTCAACAGGTCTGTGGGGTAGGAGCCAGATGAAAGATGGACACTGGTCCTCCAGGCTGATGGTTGTGCCGTGGGCTAACAACCTACTCACTTAAAAACTAGCTTGTTACAGAAACCACGATATCTTTAGATAATATGGCTGAGAAAGAGTCCACCAAAGTGGAGCATATGACGTGTGCTAGTGAAATCCTGCAGGAAGCCAGCGCGCCAAAACTCTTAATGACTAAGTCAAACAACCAGGATAGAGGACCTGGAACATCAGAACCCTATATGAGACCAGCAAAATGGATTGGCCACACACTCTGCAAGCCTGCTTCTAGTGTCACCAAGCAGGGACTTGAATGGAATCCACAAGGGAAGCAAAAAATGGGTTGCTTAAAACAGAGTTGGCACAGAGGTGAAGGCCGCCAGTATAACATGGGCTGAGCTGAAGAGAATCACTCGGAACCGCATCCATTGGAGAGGGTGTTGTTGTGGCCCTATGTTCCCCAAGTAGTCCAGAGGCATAAGAAGAATAGAAACAGATCAAGATTTTATATTTAATTGAAGAGGACACTATGTGCTTATCTCAATGAGAATCTGCCAGAGAGACGAATTGGCCTTGTGGAGACAAAGACAGTTCTCTAATGAAATGGTCACTGCGGACACTAGACATGTTCCCTGTTAGATTTCTTTTTATGGAGATACGTGAAGTGACTTGTCTATGTCCCCCCCCCACCTCTTCTCGCTAGTATTGATGAACTCAAGCAGAGAATCACTTCTGAACTGGATAATGCTACCGGAGACATGCTACAACGTGTTTGGCAAGAGCTTAACTACCGACTTGACATGTGCCGTGTCACAGGCGGTATACATATTGAACACTTATGAAATCGGTCCCATAATAAACTTATGATGTTCAACACCGAAACTGTTCATTTTAATTGAGCTAGACTTAGTAATTTTCAAGATAATTACTTTTAAAATGATGTCAAATTTTTTTTTGGACACCCTGTATTTACTTAAACCCTTTATTAAAAAACAAATAAAAAAATTTGTCTGAATATGAAACGTTTTTCCCAAAATAGTTGACGGGGAAGAGGTTAATAGTCTGCTTAGCTTTTGGAATGCATCTTTGGCCGTTCAAATACGTTTCTGTGTTGCACTTTCCGTTCTTTGTTGCAATAATACTTCCCAGATTTGTTTTTATTTTATTTTATTTTAGTATCCCCGATTTGTAATTTGCATTTGGGCTCATCCTTATAAGTAGTTATAAAAATAGTAAAGCTAATTTATTAGTATCACTGATATGATTTCTGGCGTTGTCATCAAAACGAAGAATTATATCCGGATGCTTGTGTGTGTTTTGTTTAATTGAAAAAAGAAACATTATTTTTGTTCATTACTTCCCTTTCCTTAATATAAATTGTTTGACTGGACGCCATAACGCGGATTCCCGGGGCGCAGTTGTCCAATAGGGTTTCTTAGATTTCGTGCTTATTAACAGAGAAATCTCATTGGTTGATAGTACAGCCAAGCTGAAACTGGCGCATATATCATTGATTATTTTGGTATTTCACGCAACCGGATATACATTTATACTTCTGGTTATTGCAGATTTTACAAATACCCGACTACTGGAAGGGTTCTTTCAAATCTTTCTTTAATGAATGCCATTGTAATTAAATTAAAGACATTAGTTCCATTTCATCCTCAAGCGAATTTTAATTTAATTACAAAATTAAATTCGGGGCTTTTAGCTTCCATTTTTGAAACATGGTTAGAACTGTGTAGCGGAAAAAACCATATTTTAAATCAATTAATTTATAATATTATATATATATATATGG